CCATAATGTCCCACCAACAGCCATGAAGGAAATGAACAATTTGTTGGTAAAAAAAATGATGACTAGTTGTCAATAGCTTTTGAGAGACATATTGTGTTAACACAATACTCTATTTGCAAAACTTAAGACTGAAGTTACTAGTGAAATAAGTGTTATTAATGAATAATAAGGGTAGATGGGAGATGAGTTTTGCAACACCTGTTTCCATACATCACAAAGCCGGAAATCCATACGCAAATAAAGATTTGGTTTGTTCCGGTTTATTTAATGTAGTCAGTAATAATGGTGTGCTGTATTCTGGATGCATTAAAATAATGTTACCTGATTTACTACTTAAAAATAAATATCCATTTCAGTCACATTTATAAATCACTTTTCACAAAAACATCCCAATCGCTTCCCAGGGGACCTACTCAGGTTTTCATCATTTTGCCAAAAGGAAACAGCAATGGGCCAAATAGCTTCTTTCTATACTGTCATCTTTTCAATGTATACTTCATAATGTATAATAACTAAGGGCAAAATTCCTGACACAATTCCTGGCCCTTCAGGTCAGCAAACAGAATGATAGTGCTCCAATTGTTGTTCTGGCTAAGATCAGTTAAGTTAGTACAGTGGTACTGTTGGCTTAATATGGCCTGAGATTCAAGCAGAGGATGGGTACTTTGGTGCAAATTAAGAAAGCACTGTCCTTGGGGTGTATAAACATCGACTTCAGACACAGCCAAACTTTGTGCTTACTATCCCATGCATACCATTGATTGAGCAGAACCTATCACCTGCAACCCAGATCCTTGTTCTCAGATTTAAGTCCTTCCACAATCTCAACGCATCCTACCTCTGCAACCTCCTTCACCCTTACCATCCTGGCTGTTCCCTTTCCTCGGCCGACACTGGCCTACTTCACACCCTGCTCTATCTGCCCCACCATCGACAGGTTGAATTTCAGCTACTTGGTTCCAGCTCTCTGGACCTTCATTTCCAGATCACTCCGACTTGCTCTCTCCCGCTTTGTACGTATTTACGTACATACGTAGTGGAGTCCTGTAGCTCAGTGGTTAGAGCACTCACCTTGCAAGCGAGACACCTGGGTTCAATTCCAGGCAGGGAGAAACCTTGGGCAAGTTTCCTTACTCCACACGCCTAATAATAATCCCTCCAAAACAAAAACAATAATAAATTGGTCACTTTCAATCCACGACTGTTTGTGGGACGCTGCAGTGTGCAATTGGCTGCTGCGTTTCGCCCACTAATGTAGTCCATTCACTTTACAGTCTATTCTGTGAAGCACTTTGAGACGTCGAGAAGACGTGAAAAGTGCTATATCAAATGCAAGGATTATTATTACTACTTATTTGACCTCTCTTTCGGGCAGCTTTCCCCTGCTCACCTTGCACCCTCAGCTGCATTATCCAGCCAGAACTGTCAAGCACTTTGGGACATGCTCCCAACATGAAAAGTGCTATCTAAATGTAAATTGTTTTGTATAGCATGCAAGGATAGTATGCAGCGCCTTGGGACGTCCTCCTGACGTGAAAGACGCTATACAAATGTAATTTTGTTGTTGATAATATGATGCCCAGGTACAGTCACAAATCACAACCCCAAACCAATTGCACATAGGATTGTACATGTATAGTTGCTCCTCCACTGGACCAGCTGCTGTAAAACTACTTGATAATAAAAATGGTTTGTAGGAACTTAGGGAAAACCAGCTAGACACCTCTATAGGACCCTGTAGAACTGTTTCAGGCCTTTTTATAAATACCATTCCTCATTTTTAGATGTGCATTTTTTTTACTGGTAACATTCAGCCTGTTCTGAAAAAAGTGGGAATGAATGGCTAGAAATAGTTACCGTTTTAGAAGACAGATTGTGTTTATGGGGAGAGGAATGGGGGGGCAGGGGGTCAGATAAGGCTCCCACATCTGCATTCTGTGCAAAAACAAATAAATAAATAACACGTGGGTGTTTGCAAGGAAGGGGCGGGAATCTTAATATGCTGGACTTGTGCAAAAATAAAGCTTTAGGCCACATCTAACAAAATGGATCGCTTGCAATGAAGGCAGAGAAGGAGGAGGGGAAAGAAAACAGTCTCTGCTGCTGAACAGTAAAAGCACATTCTGCAGCAAACCTGTGGGGAAAAAAAGAGACACAACACAAGGCAGACAGCCTTCATGGCAATACCATGTCGACTGGGAAAGAGTGGGGGGGTGGAAGGGCAAACGAGAAATGGGGTTAGTTGTTATTGACAACAACAACAACAACAAGATTCCATTTATAGAGCGCCTTTCACGTCGGGAAGAGGTCCCAGGGCGCTGTACAGTTGGGTCAGGACACGAGCAGGGGGGAAATGGTCAGGGTGAGGGGAGGGAAGGGAAAGGTGTGTGTCAATTATTGACACACACGGAATGAATTTAACCGCATCTTCCACGAGCCTGTATACAAAAGGCCGTTTTTTAAGGAATGCAACAACGTGTTATTAAAACGAACACAGACACAGACAGCAGCACCGGTGTGAGGGGAGGGGGGTCCGTGTGCACTGCCTGCCGAGCTGTGAGTGACAGCCACGCGCTCCGGGGACAGTGAGTGAGTGACTCCGTCCCACAGAGCAACAGCTACAACCACAGTAACAGCTACAGTAATAACCACCGTAACAGCTACAGCAACAACCACAGTAACAGCTACAGTAATAACCACAGTAACACAGTAACAACTACAGTAACACAGTAACAACTACAGTAACACAGTAACAACTACAGTAACTACAGTACAGTACAGTACAGTTACTACAGTAACAGAGACAGCACAGCTACAGCTCCCGGGCAAAGTGGCTACAGTGCAGATAGGGTGCACGTCAAGGATAAAAGCCCGAGTCCTCTCCACACCGGGCAGGGAAGGGTCGGGCAGGGTCCGGGCCGGGTAGGGCCGGGCAGGGCAGGGCAGGGCCGGGCCGGGCAGGGCCGGGTAGGGCCGGGCAGGGCAGGGCAGGGCCGGGCCGGGCAGGGCCGGGTAGGGCCGGGCAGGGCCGGGCCGGGCAGGGCCAGGCAGGGCAGGGCAGGGCAGGGCCGGGCAGGGCAGGGTCCGGGCTAAGCGCCTGCAGAGCAGTCACCTCACCGACCCCGAGTTAATTTCATCAACAGCAGTGGAGCCCAACACCCACCCACCCCCCCCCCGTGTGTGTGAGGGGGCGGGGCCTGTGTAAGTGTGAGGGGGCGGGGCCTGTGTGTGTGTGTGAGGGGGCGGGGCCTGTGGGTGTGAGGGGGCGGAACCTGCGTGTGAGGGGGGCGGGACCTGTGTGTGAGGGGGGGGCCTGTGGGTGTGAGGGGGCGGGATCTGCGTGTGAGGGGGGCGGGGCCTGTGTGTGTGAGGGGGTCGGGGTCTGTGTGTGTGTGAGAGAGGGGCGGGGCCTGTGTGTGTGAGGGGGCGGGACCTGTGTGTGAGGGGGGCGGGGCCTGTGTGTGTGCGAGGGGGCGGGGCCTGTGTGTGCGTGAGGGGGCGGGGCCTGTGTGTGCGTGAGGGGGCGGGGCCTGTGTGTGTGTGCGTGAGAGGGGCGGGGCCTGTGTGTGTGGGGGGTGTGTGGGGGGCGGGGCCTGTGTGTGTGCGTGAAGGGGGCGTGTGTGTGGTGAGGGGGCCGGGCCTGTGTGTGTGTGGGGGGCGGGGCTGTGTGTGTGTGAGGGGGCGGGGCCTGTGTGTGTGTGTGAGGGGCGGGGGTGGTGTGGTGTGTGAGGGGGGCGGGGGTGTGTGGGTGTGAGGGGGCGGGGCCTGTGTGTGTGTGGTGTGTGAGGGGGCGGGGTCTGTGTGTGTGAGGGGGGGCGGGGTGTGGTGTGTGTGAGGGGGGCGGGGCCTGTGTGTGTGTGTGTGGTGTGAGGGGGCGGAGGCCTGTGTGTGTGAGGGGCGGGGCCTGTGTGTGTGGGGGGGCGGGGCCTGTGTGTGTGTGTGTGAGGGGGGCGGGGCATGTGTGTGTGAGGGGGGGCGGGGCCTGTGGGGGGGGGGGGGGGCTGGGGGGGGGGGGGGGCGGGGCCTGTGTGTGTGGGGGGGGGCGGGGCCTGTGTGTGTGTGAGGGGGCGGGGCCTGTGTGTGTGTGTGAGGGGGCGGGGCCTGTGTGTGTGTGTGTGAGGGGGCGGGGCATGTGTGTGTGTGAGGGGGGCGGGGCCTGCGTGTGTGTGAGGGGGCGGGGCCTGTGTGTGTGTGTGGGGGGGGGGGGGGGGCGGGGGTGAGGGGGCGGGGCCTGTGTGTGTGTGTGAGGTGACGGGGCTGTGTGTGTGTGTGAGGGGGCGGGCCTCTGTGTGTGTGTGTGAGGGGGCGGGGCCTGTGTGTGTGTGTGTGAGGGGGCGGGGGGGGGGGGGGGTGTGTGTGGGGGGGGGCGGGGCCTGTGTGTGTGTGTGTGAGTGTGTAACGGGGGCGGGGCCTGTGTGTGTGTGTGTGTGTGTGTAACGCGGGCGGGGCCTGTGTGTGTGTGTGTGTGTGAGGGGGCGGGGCCTGTGTGTGTGTGTGAGGGGCGGGGCCTGTGTGTGTGGTGTGAGGGGGCGGGGCCTGTGTGTGTGTGTGTGTGAGGGGGCGGGGCCTGTGTGTGTGTGTGTGTGTGTGAGGGGGCGGGGCTGTGTGTGTGTGTGTGTGTGTGAGGGGGCGGGGCCTGTGTGTGTGTGTGTGTGTGAGGGGGCGGGGCCTGTGTGTGTGTGTGTGTGGTGAGGGGGCGGGGCCTGTGTGTGTGTGTGGTGTGTGTGTGGGGGGGCGGGGCCTGTGTGTGTGTGTGTGTGTGTGAGGGGGCGGGGCCTGTGTGGTGTGTGGTGTGTGAGGGGGCGGGGCCTGTGTGTGTGTGGTGTGTGTGAGGGGGCGGGGCCTGTGTGTGTGTGTGAGGGGGGCGGGGCCTGTGTGTGTGTGTGTGTGAGTGTGTAACGGGGGCGGGGCCTGTGTGTGTGTGTGTGTGAGGGGGGCGGGGCCTGTGTGTGTGTGTGTGTGTGTGGGGGGCGGGGCTGTGTGTGTGTGTGTGTGAGGGGGCGGGGCCTGTGACTGACTGCAGCAGAGACACAGACACACACACGCCATGGCCCGAGAGTATAAAGCCGGGGAGCTGATTTTCGCCAAGATGAAGGGTTACCCTCACTGGCCAGCCCGGGTGAGTGAGAGAGAGAGAGAGAGAGAGAGGGAGGGAGGGAGGGTGAGGTGTGGGGGTGTGTGTGTGTGTGTGTGGGGTGGGGGGGTAAGCAGAGGATGACCCCCTCTCGCTGCTGTTGGTGACAGTGGAGCAGCTCGTGTGGCACATTGTATCTCAAAGGAGTTTTGTTTTAAAGAAAAGCTTAATTGCGTTATGGAGGATCCTCCAAAACCTCTCTCTGTGTTTACCTCCTGCTCTCTCTCCCCCCTTCTCTCCCCCCTTTTTCTCCCTCCCCTCCTCCCCTCCTCTACCCCCCCCACACCCCCACTTCTCTCTTTCGCCCCCTCCCTCCACACAACCAACCGTGCAAACTATCCCCTGGTGTCTGTGTTGAAGATGGTTGCAATGAAAGCTGTAAACAGTTGGGAGTTGGTGGATGAAGATTTCGTTCAATGCAAATCCAATTGGTGATTTTTTTGGGGGGTGTTTCTCCCGCGCTTTTGCCCTTTTCTCTTTCTTCTCGTTTTTCTCTTTTTCTCTCTCTCACCAGCTCCTCCTCTCCCTTCCCCCCCCCACCCCCCCTCGGTGAAATTTTTGGGTGCAAACACTGGTGCAAATGGTGTGTTTTTTGTTGTTCAGTGAAGAGGAGGAATGTTGGGATAACTTAAGTGTTTGGAAACCCCTGAAACACGTGGTGTGGTGTTACTCGCTGCCCTGAGGGTGTAAAGCTGGGGGTTGGTGGGGGGTGGGGGGGGAGAGGGTGCAAGATCCAGGGGCCCTGAGATAGTCAGTCCATCCATGTACATCCAGGAAAAACTAGAATCATTTGAAAACCGTGGGTCTGGTCTTTTGGGGGCAAATCCTGGTGCTATGCTGGAGGTTGTTCCAAGTTTAAAAGAGCTGGATATTGCTTTGTTTTTTTTTGTATGTTTGCAATCATATCATTCCTTTCACGTGTACAGTAGTGTTATGTGCAATATATCCATAAACTCAGCTGGTCTGGCACTGACAGTTAAACATCCCCCCCCCATTCTTACATTATGATTATCACAATACTCTGGGGACTGGAATGCAATGTATGTTCACCTGCCAGTATGCAAAATGGTGGGTCTCTGCTCTTGTGAGTATTGTTGTTCAATACCACCATTCATAGCAGGAACTCAATAAACATGCAGCTATTATTTGCTGCAATAAATTGGGTTTCTGGTACTCACAAACATTTCTGCAACTTTCGAAACCTCACCTGCCTGTTAGGTGGTGGCTCAAATGCATTCTTTGACCTTTGCTTTTCTTCCATTATAAACAATATTGGTGCCAAAGGGAGAGATGAGCACCAGAGGGAAAAAACTGCTGCTCTGTGTACTCCCCCTCCCCCCACCTGACTGGTTTTAAAAAGTGTATGCAACAACTGTATACGCTATCTATATACATTAAAACTCGCACAAGTCTGATCTGTATAAATTGTATAATCGTCTTAAGTCGTACATCTGCCCAAGTCCTGACAAGAGTATATATTCTATGGAAGTTCAACTTACCTCATACTTTGTATAAATCATATTAAAGGTATTGTCCCAACTGATACGACTTGTGAAGGTCTACTGTATATCATGTGCAGTGTGGCCTGCACTTTGTAAGCCTAGCTTCCTGCCAAACGTTTTACTGGGAGAAGTGTAATAGTGATCAGTGCATACAAATCCACTGAGAGGGTGAAGGCCATTTATGTTTGTTTTGGTAAGTCGGGTGTCTGAAACATAAGGAAACTCTTCTCCATGCTTATGAGTATCCAAACTGAATTCCAGGCATCCCACCCATATGTGGAAACTCCTGTGTATTGAAATAGAATGCACACACTGTCCCTGGAGGGATGCATCCTGGTTACCTAATTCCAGAAAGAATTAGGCACAGGTTGGCAAGAGCCAGGCTTGAGGATGCCAGAGTATGTGTTGGAGTACTGCTCGAGTCTAACCAGCTAAAACCGAATAGCTTGCCATTCATTGAGAATGCTGCTTGGCGAGCTTTCCTGATGCTTGTCCAGCTAGGACCACTCTACGTGTTAGGACTTTGACTTGCCGAGTGGGATGACTCCCTGCCACCAGTGACTGGTCTGCCCTTCCAGCTCCTGCCGATAAGCTGTGCTGTCATCAGCAGTGCCCTGGAATACTGCAAACCCATGTGGCTCAATAACCAGATTGAGTCAACCCTCAGATTGAGTCAACCCTCAGATTGAGTTAAACCTCACAGAGGTTTAATCGATTCCAACATTCTGTTGCCTTGCATGTCACCCTAGAACCAATTCAGCTCCAAGGAGGCCCCATGTCCAATTATAGTGAATGACTAATTTCTGAACACTGCTTTCACTCTGCTGCTGTTGCTGGTAAATTTTCCCGATCAGAACAAGATATTTACGGTACAGGTTATTTTGAAAAAAGCACCTGTGCTGCACTGGGTGTAGGAATGTACTTCTCTAAACTTGTCAAAATGTTAATGTACTTTTTGTCAAAGTGGAACAAAATGAGTAAATTGTGATTTTTTTTGGATTGCATATATACCAGGCAATGCTGTTATAATACTATAGTGTAGCTCACTGCTGTTCTACTGATAAGTTGCACTGGAGTTGGCTTCATTCCAGCTACTTCCATGTTTGCTTGCTGTACACATGCAAGCCGGAGGGGAGGGGAGAGAGAGAAACCTTTCACCCCCTCCTCTTTCCCCCCCCAGCCAGTCTAGAATTTTGCAGCTATTTGTCTTGGTCACAGCTCAAGTGGGTGTAGAATGAATGTTTATCATCATTATTCCTTACTGAATTCCTGGCAAAACACTCTTGTGCAGCTATGAACAATTTTATTATACTTAGCTACCTTAGCTGAAATCCTAGTGACGAACTGTATTCATTGTGATGATTTTAAACCAGCACCTCAACCGTCTGGTGACCTTCTCTGATGGTGAGGGATTTTATACTCATTCAATGTCAGCAGCTTCCCAGGTGGGTACAGCAGATCAAAGTTGCCTCTACTTTTCCACAGTGATGTTCCCTATTTCCACACCCAGACCACTGATTTTATCATGAGCGTGATACCAGCTGGGCTGACACTACATTGCCATCTTGATGACCTCTGAGGACTTTACCTAATTTGATGTAATTTTGATAAATTGCAGGATGTTGTTTGCTACAGGCCCCAAACCCTGTTAAGACTGCCCTGACTCATTTCACATAGAAACACAAGTGGCAGCATGGAAAGTTGAAACTTTCCTCTGAGCTCGATTGAGACTCTGGTCAGACAGAGGTGACTGGATTAAACCACTACCACCATGTCGTTGTATCTTTCTGTTCTAAATTGTGCAAGAGTCAGTAAATGATTGCAGTTCTTCTGTGGTGCTCTTCAAAGTATTTCTCCCCCATTTCAAACATGGCTAAGGATTTGATGGGGTGAAGCATGCTCGGAGTTTCTGAGCCTAATTGTACGAGGCAGCTGAATTCAACGCAAAGCCATAGTCATTAACCTACAGTGCAGTCAAATCATTACAGCTCCTGTTTGTTACCTTGGCTCCCTCAATGCTGGCTTCACCTTTTGCTGCTGAACAAAAAATAAGTCATCAGATTCATTCCTTTTTTTAATGAAGGGAAGTTTCACCCCGAGTGCCTTCAAGTAGATTCTCTTGTCCTTTGGGAATGAGCTGTGAAGAGTACCTGTTGGAGAAAAATCTTGTCTCTGTAGTTGCTCCTTTTACTCTCTGTTGAGGAGTATGTAAAAAAAACAGAAGCCATCTTGTTGTCAGAGCTTTCCTGCCTCTGATTCTGCCTCTTATCAATCTCACTGGCTGCTTGCACCATTTAACTGAGCCTGCTTGTTTCTCCCCTTCCCGCTCGGTTTCCTGTTCCTTGACCAAAAGGTTTTTTTTCACATCTGGAATATTGTCCACTTGTGCATCCCTGTCTCACCTCTCTGAACATGAAACCATGATCCGTGCCTTTGGTGTCTCGAGACTAGACTTCTCCAGTTCTCTCATCAGCAACCGCACTGGCTACACTTTTGAAAACTTCGGTTCATCTAAAACTTTGCAGCCCATATCTAGGCTTTGCATTCCAGGCTTCATTGCTTTCAGAATCCCAGAAGAACAATTTTAAAATGACCTTCAAATCCCTTTAGTATGGCCCCTCCCTAATCTTCTCCAGGCCTATTCTCCTCCAGTGTCTTTTGCTCTGCTGATACCTTGTCTGCTGTTTGTTCCTCACTTGCTTGGTACTCAGCTAATATACTTTGCTCTCTGAAATGCTCTCCAAAATCCTTTCACCTTGCGTTTTTCCTTACTTTCAAACCACTTTTAAATGCCTATCTGTTTTCCATGCCTTGGTACAGCAGCCATTAATTATTATTCCTCCGTTCACTGCTCATTGCTTTCTCCTTATAGTCTCTTGTGCGATGGTCACCAGAAGTGCAAGGCATTGTTGACTCTTAATATTTATACCTGGGTCACATCAGCAAGCTTCCATTAATTTTAGCAAGGTATTGTGATCACTAATGGTTTGTAACTCTAATGGCTTCTAACATTAACAAAATGTTTTCTTCAGATTGATGACTTTGCTGATGGAGCTGTGAAATCATCCACAAATAAGTATCCCATCTTTTTCTTTGGGACTCATGAGACGTGAGTGGATCTTCCTTTGTTTTAATAACTGTTGTTCAAAACTTGTTTTTTGTTTTAAAACTGCAGTAATTTCTGGTAATGAATAGCTGAATCTTATGAAGTTTTACCCCCCTCCTGTTACCTTTTGAGTGGCTTGATATTTTACAGACTTGTCTTATTTATGAAGGTGGTTTGCTTGATGCAGGGCATGTGGGAGAGCATTGTTGTTACAAAGTTATGTTTGCATTATTTAGAGAATGCGTCTTTAGTGCTAAATCCTAGGCGCTTGTATAGGAAAGCACTTTTCAGTGCTACCCCGCACGAAGGGTGCTGTATAGATAATAATATGATTTAAAAAATCCTTGTATTTGATGTAGCACCTTATCACATAGTTGAGACCTCTCAAAGCGCATCACAAAATGCATTGTAAAGTACATTTGGGGGCGAAATGTAGCAACCAATTGCAATTTGTTCTTGAAATGTAAAAAAGCAAGTTGTTGTTGGAAGTATGGCTCCTTGGTTCTCTGTTGTCAAGACTGGCAGATTCAGAAGTCCGTGCTTGCTTAATTTATTTATTTATTTTTTTGAAAAAACAGAGCGTTCTTGGGTCCAAGAGACATTTTTCCTTATGAAGAAAACAAGGATAAATATGGCAAGCCCAACAAAAGAAAGGGCTTCAATGAGGGGCTGTGGGAAGTTGAAAACAATCCAACAGTAAAATTTCTAGGGCATCAGGTGAGTTGAGCATTTGGAACGGGAGCAAAGCAATTGCCTACCAAAAGGCTGGCGTAAGATTTGAAATTAGCAGAGATTTTTGTCTGATGTTCAGTTTGTGTTTGAAAATGTACTAATTTGGATGAATGCCAAGCTGAGCTGGATTAATACTAGTCACTGCTGGATAAAGTAGAGCCTCAGGGAAGTCTAAATAATGATGATGGGGTGATGCTTCCTTCATCATGCCCAGCTCTGTGCAGCTCTCCATAACTCTTAGAAGAGCAACAGTAATTTTTAGTTGTTTAAAGAATTAAAAATGTAACTACTATTTACCAGTGCAAAATAATGCAAAGTTTCATTGTATTTGTCCAATTAGGGCATTTATATCCTAACTAAGATGATGATAAAAAATTCTTCCGAGACTCAATTGAGTCAGGCAGGTTGGTCACCCATCAACGACATCTTGCAATGCTGCAGACCTGCCTGGCTTTGCCTGCAGGAGCCATGGCACTTATTTTCTTGACCTTAAAAAGGTGAAGGGCTGAGTAAACCTACTGAGATTTGAACCCAGACTACTAAGTATGGGGCACAGCCGACTGAGCTTGTAAAGCAATTTATGAAGCTTCAAAGGATGAGAAAAACAAGTTATTGGCACACATGATAACTGAACAGTAATAATGGTTGGCTGCCCTTACTGCAGGAGATTGTCGTCAATGCCCAGCCACGTTGAACGCAGGCAAATCATTCCTGAGTAATCAGTGCAGCACAGTTTAGCTTTCTGTCATCCTAACCAACCTCTTGCCTACATGACCACCATTGTACAAACCGAAAAACCCCAAATACAAAAGATGAACATTGAAGACATCGTGGAATTAATATCTGAAAAGAAAAGTCATGACAGACTTGAAATCCCATATGTTTTCTTGATAGAAGGAAGTGTTTAATTAGATCTCTACATTGTGAGCTTCTAACTAACTCTTGCCCAATACATTTTATTTTAATAAACGCAGATTTAGTTTCATGCTACAGTATGACTTGATTTTATCCAGTTCATTGGGCTGAAAATGTGTACTAAATTAAGAGATTCATTACATATTGAATGTGAATTGTCAACGTCCCCCCGTTTCCCCCCGCACAATTCTCAACGTCAGCATCCTAATGCCAGATCATGCATTATCGCTGCTTCAGCCTGCTGGGTAGCAGAGTTGCACCATCACTAACAATCAGACTAAAGCCTTAATGCCAGTAAATCGACAGCTGAGAGACAGACCCAGAAGATGTGTACGATCCGGTTCCAGGCTGTCAGTATTGAGAATAACTGCTGTATTCCAACTAATTCAAAACCCGTCTGCTGATATAATCACCCTCACTGAACTCCGTACCTCCATCACACCAGCCCTCGCCAGACTCCAATGACTCCCTATCACAGAATGGATCGACTTCAAGATCCTCACACTCGTCTACAAATCCCATCATTGCCCAGGGTGCCTCTACTTCTCCGATCTGCTTATTCCCCACTCTGCTTCTGCTGAGCTGGCTTTGGCCTTGTTCCTCATCCACTCTGCTCCACCATTGGAGGAGAATGGTTGGCAGGGGAGAAGGGTAGAATTAAGTCAATGCTTCCTGCAGCACTGCTCAGTTTGTCACAATCTCCCACTTTGAATATTTTTAGGGTTTGAATAAACGTGCTCGCAAGTTGTCGACAGAAAAAGATGGTGAAGAGGTGAAGCAGGCAAGTGATTTGAACCTGGGAAAGGAGGAATTGGATGCTGGAGGTTTGCCTGAATTTGACAAACGGAGTGATGAGGTACAGTTTGATACTACATGGCTATTATGGTTGCGTGTTCTTGTAACTTGATAAAGTTGCTTTCCAATCTCAGAAATCTATGGAAGTTCTGTTATAATCCCATATTGCCAAGATCTGTAGATTACGTGATGCTGAGATAATGACCAGAAAATTATCCTCCTTCCTCTCTTTCTTCCCTCCTTCCGATTATTAACTTACTTTACGTTCTACCCACACCAAATACCAACTTAGTTGAAGGGGAACAAAATACTTTTTCAAAGTTCTACTTTGGATATAGAGGGGAGAAAACCATAGTTTACTTGTAGCAAGCAATCCTTTCTGTTCTGCATTAACAATGGGATGCTTCCTCTAATCCTAGATTGCTCCATGGTATCAGAGTTGGTGGAGGAGTTGCATGGTCCCTTGAGAATCTCTACCTTGTTATAGAACAACTTTTTTGCATGAAAGAAATGCCTCAAGGCCGTATACTGAATGAGAAATTAAGTGAGTTATGGAGGCAAACACAGTGACTACTTTCACAAGCAAAGTCCTGCGAACACCAATGAGATGAATAGCCAATTAATTAGAACATTCGATGAGTGCAGAATGTAGGCTATGACACATTACATTGAGTTTTGCAGCGATAGTGAAAGGAAGTTTTAATAATTGAAGAGGGAATACAAGCCAAGATAAATGAGAGGAAAACTCCACTTTTCTTTGAAAAATATAAAGGGGAAGGGCCCCTTTATATCCACCTGAACCACAGAACAGATGGGACTTAAATTAATGATTTGGAAATAAATAAACAATGAGCCTACATTTAATTTAGGATGTAATGTTGGCAAGTGTAGCAAGCAAATTGCTCCAGCAACATCCTGCAAATAACAATGACATGAGTAGTTAAATTAATTGGATTTTGTTGTGTGAATTTGGAATGTTGACCGAGCAGGACACATTATATTGCCATATAAATTTACAGGAAAGTAAATGCAAATTTTAATGATTGAAAAGGGAGGGGTGGAGGGGAGAAAGTGAGGATGCAGAAAATGACAGATTGAGAGGTGGCAGACCTCTAGTCCAGAACGGTAGCCAATATGGATTAGGTGTATTTCATGATCAGCCACAGTCTCACAGCTTCTGGTTTTCTTTTAAAGGGAAGAACACTTTAAAATTGTACTTCCTTTGCAAATGGTGAATTTTGTCTTTGACGTGGCATTAGTGCCTTTGTTTGGGTGAGATCATGGTCTCTCTTCAGCTTTCTTTGTCTCTTGGACTGGGGTGAGACCTGGAATCTTCCATGTCCATGGGTCGGGGGAAGCCATGTTATCTCAGATGGGAGTTAATGGAATTGAGTACTTTGGATTGACCTGGGAGATGATGTGGAGTTGGCTGACTGCATAGAGGCATTGCCCCAACAAGCTATTTCCTATAACTCTAGAAGACATGAAAAGCGCTATATCAAATGCAAGGATTATTATTAACTCCTTCCAGTCAGTGATGTTGCAGGAGAAAGATCTTTTAATAATTGAAAAGGGAATGTAACATAGAAGAGTCAGGATTCATACAAGTGAAATTACGTACAAGTAAAGTACAATTTTAGAAATGTTCTTTCCTTGTAAAAAGAATAGTATTCATCCTTGTTCCTCGAAGATGCAGACATTTCTTGAGATCAGCCAGTCTTGCTTTCCTTTAGGCCTGTCTGAATGATTGTGATATGACTGTCATTACCCATATGCTGCTTGGAAACAGCATGTCAGGTGAAAAGTATCTGAACTCATTGCCACCTGCAAACTCAACCTTGGAGAAGCAGCTAAAGTTAACATGTTGCTCTGCTTCATTATAGGTGTCAGTATCACAAATAAATAAATCACAAAAATACAAGAAATACTCTTGGGTGGAGGAAGCAAAAGCAGAGACAAGAGGGGTATTCCCCTAACTTCTGAAACTATCTCTCTCTCTTTACCCCTCTGTCTCACCGCCTCTCTCTTTAAGTCTCTTCTTAAAACCTACCTCTTCAAACACCCTGATATGTTTCCTACACTGTACAAATTCAAGTTGTTGCTGTGGGGAATAGTTGGAGGAGAGTGCCCATAGCAGAATGCCTATGTGGGAAATATTGAATGCACATCAGTTGCACTTTTGATGGTCAGCTATGTGGTTTCACCTGGTTAAACTCCAGCAGTACCTGCATACTCTTGGGTTCTCCCTAAGCTACAGACACATTTCCATGTGTAGGTGGCAAACATGCAGAACTCGGGCTGATTTGGATACTGTTAAGCAGGGTTACTCTATGAGTCAAACACCCAGCTGGTTAACCAAGAAAAAAGATCTAGCGGTGTCTTGAGTGTGCAGAGTATCATTCTTCTTCATATCCACTTTGTGTACTCTGGAGTTCATGCACAATCATTCATGTTCATTCTCTAACCCTGTAAGGGAAAAAATGTCCCTTTGCCTCCATTGCTGCTCTTTGTGGTTGAAAATTCAACCTTTGCCCCAGGTTATTCCTGCAATTCCTGTAATTGCAGGAATAACCATTTTCAGATTGTATTTTGACTGATGCATGAGGGATTTCACCCACCGGCCTAAAGCTTCGTACACAACTTCAGGGTTCATGTGAACCAAGGACCCCATTAGTTATAATATCACAGCTAACGAACAACCATTTTAGGCATTTTATTGGATACGCATAGCAGCACTGTTAATGGAAAGATTAGTATCTCATCATGTTAACCGTTTAGCTGAGGGTGAGTGTTTGTGAGCATTTTGTAACCAGATTAGTCAGACTTTATCTCATCTTGTTTTTCAGTATGAAACATAATTGCGATGCACACTGCGCCACATAAGTTTCCCCTTCCCAAATCATTCATGCACTTAAATTCTTATTGAAGCTTGTTGAATCATGCTTCCATTTATTCAGTGAGACTTGAGAGGTTGGTGTGCATTGGGTTTGCAGTAGTTTGTTAATTTTAGCATTGTGGCTCCACCAATGCACCAGTGGGTGAAAGCAAACGGGTACAGCATTCAGCAAAAAAGACCAGAAGGTTACGGTTATCCGATCTCAGCTAGAGGAGCAGTTGAGGTGTTACAGTTAAGATGCAGAGAAAATTAACAAGAATTCCGACTCTTGTTATTCAAGTACCCCTTTTGGAAGACCTGCTGGTAAAAATCGGATTAGCTTAGGCTGTAATTGCACTTGGTTGAATAGCTTGCCTACACTCTCTGTTGAAGCTTATAAATTAAAACCCATTTTTGTGAGGTACTTGTGAACAACTGGGAGTTGTGGACAATATCCAAAAGAAAAAGACAAAAGGCCTTCAGCTTTAGAGGAGAGAAATGATCATCAAAAAGGCAATGACTTGTCTCTGCACTAAATACAGGTGTAGATTATTAGCCTTGTGTGCTAATTTCAAGACTTTAATCATTACAAATAAATTTGACATATATAAATTAATAGATAAAAAATGTTTTGCCACAGACAACTGTAGATTGCCTTGTAAAGTAGGGTATTAGGATTCTCTCTAAACCGGCTCTTATCATAGGGGGGGATTCTGATATGCTGTGGAAGGGACACACAAAAATATCATCTATACCTCTGAGGGTCTGCGAGTTCCTTGTTTTAGTTCTTGCCAGAGAAATACCCGGTGAATACCTCTCATATTTACAAAGTTATGGATGGCTGTGTCCTCTAAGGGAATTGGAGTCCGGCCACAAAATTCTGTTGTATCGGATTGTTTCTGCTCATTTGTAGCCATGTCCTTCACCAATCCTAAAGCTCCAGGTATCCATAGAAGTTTCGGATCTGGTATCAGCTTTGAGACCATTTTCGGCAGCATAGAGCTGGCTAAAGTGACTGAAGATATTCGTGGATAAATCCAATATCAGGCAATGCTGCCATTTCAGCACAGTCACCTCTCATTTCCAGAGGAAGTGGAGTGATGCGTCTTGTGTCAGATCACACTAACCTATCACATATTTCATGTTTGAATTCACAGTGTAAATATTAATTGTGTGATATAAAATTGTTGAATGATTCTAACTGCAGGGAAAGCTGTAATGCGAAGCAGGGTGGAATACTTAAAGCAATATTTTGCAGCCATTTTATTTTTTATTTTAGATGATATATATATTAGTTAATGTAAATTGCAGGAATAAACTTAAATTGAGTAAGAATTAAGAATGAAAGTAAAATTAAACTTAGAATGGGTCAAAATAAGAATATTGGTGTTAGTGAGCTGCTTGAGTTTTGTGATAGTATTCTGTGGAAGGGGACATATTGTGGCAGAGGCCACTTCGCAATGAGTGACACAAATAGTTATAATCTTCTCAAAGGCCATGCTAATCTAGTGATTACTGTATTATCTGGAGTAACTTATTCCTATCAAAATGTCAGCAGCAAAGTAGAACTGACGTTTGCTACACCATTGTCCCTACAGGCACACTGATTTATTAGCTGATGTATGTATCTCAGTCCTTTCCTATTTATCCATATCTCTGGTGCTTTCTATGTCGCTATGTTTTGTGTCTTCTGATATGCTTTGATTTTGTGCCGTGATGATGGTCCATTGTTGTTTAATAGGAGGTTGCCCCAAACAAAGTTGAGTTGGAGACCCCTAAGAAAGGTGCTAAGAGGGGACGAAAGAGAAAGGTATGGCATTTTTTGTTGGGCTTGCATACATACATTAAACCATGACTTACTGGACGGACTCTGGGTACCCAGAATTTGGACCTAGCTTGAAAAAGAAAAATTCCATGGACCCGCGTGAGGCCTTCCGCTGGGCCTACTCTCCTATCATGTGCCCTGCCTCGCCGTGCTTACTGGTTTTCAGTGACCAGGGATAATCACGTTGACTCAGTTTGAATCCCACGAACAGAAGGTAGCTTATCCGCTAGCTTCTGCTTACAATACAATACAAAATTACATTTGTATAGCAGCTTTCACATCAAGATTATGTCACAAGGCGCTGGGACGCTTATAGGATTCAAACTATTATCATACCTTTATGGGCATTTTTCAACACTGAAAAAATCCAGTAAATGTGCATACCAGCATTGTAAGGATGCAACTACACTTAGCCCGAAATTCCAGTTCACCAGACTGGATCTTATTAATTATTCAGGTAAGGCTAATTCTTCTGTTATTGACACGAATGGATAGCTTTGTCATGTTACTTCAATAAGGGAACAACATTTGTTTGTTTCTAGTTTGTTTTCCCCATCTGTACTTGTCCCAGTGGCCACACTCTTTCATTTCACCCTTGTAAATCTCTCCCTTAATCTCGCTATTAATCCATTTTTATTTAACTTGCTCTTGATACACTTGGGTATGAGTTGTCTTGCATATATCCATTTACACTTGTTACTGGAGTTGGCATCAATATGGTTCTGGGATGGGTTAATTTTGTTAGGAGAATTTGATGCCTCCTTCCCTTTCTTCCCGATCAGCTCACTTGATGACTTATTGAGTTAAGATGCCATCCAGTGTAGCGGTAAGCCATATAGAACAGAATATAACTGATTTAATTCCCATTTTGCACATTTCTGCTCGGAAGTAGATGCGGCATTAGAATTGGCTGCAGCATCCCTGGTTTAAGAAGAGGAAATCTCAAACCAAGTTCTTAATTCCTAGTTGCTGGTCTGGCTCAGAACCTGGGTAGCACTTTCACCTCTTCAGTTAGAAAGTTGTGAGTTCAAGCCACATGTTGGGAGCTTCAGCTCATAGTCTAGTTTGACACTGGAATGCGGTGCTGGGGATGTGCTGCTTTGTCGGAGGTGCCGTTCTGTGGATCATACATCAAAGCACAGCACTCTTTCCCGTCCCCCGTCCCCCCCGGACTACTCAGTTATTACCACCCCAAGTAGCAGGGTAATTCAGTATTGATGCTTCATTGACAAATGATAAGGTTTCTGTAAAATCCTGCAGAGGCAGCCTAATAAAACTGAATTTGGAGTTTGTTGTCAGAAATCATATAATTTTTTTGGGTCATTTTCTCCACCCACCCAGGTTGACAAAATAGATGCTGCTTCAGAATCAGAAGAACCAGAGAAGCAGAGTGCCAAGCAGAAAAAGCAAGGTAATCGATGTTGAGGCTGAATACATTTGTCAGCTATAGTCATAGTAGAGTTTGTTAGCACTTGAACCTGTACATAGAATTGAGGCATTCTTAGAATTCTCCACTGGTTGTGTTGGACAAGTGATGTACTCCTGTGTCATTCTCGGAGGAAGAGGAAAGGCCTTTCACATGTGCATTTTCCTCGTTTTACAAATATCTGCACACATGGCAACATTGTCCTGGAGTCTGTGGTTAATGCCTCCATGACAGAGCATGTAGATGAAAAGAAAGGGGCTGAGGCTAGAGCCCTGAAGTGCCCTACAGGTCACCGTGCAAGGGTGGGAATCAATAGAGGAGACAAAGTGGAGGCGGTGGGTCAGGTATGAGTGTAACCAGGAGAGCGGAGGCCCACAAAGGTGAATGAGGGAGGAGAGAGTGATCATCAATGTCAAAAGCGGCAGAGAGGTCGAGGTCTCGTCGCAGAGAATGAGGGAGTGTATTGTTGGTGACTTTGACGCGAGCTGTCTCAGTCCTGTGGGTAGGGTGGAAAGCAAACTGAAAGGGCTCAAAGCAGGGAGTGGGAGCGAAGTTGAGTTGCAACAATACGTTCCTGACTTTGAGTAGGACGGTGGGTTGGACATGGGCGGGTCATGCCTGGTCTGATTTTAAAACTATACCCTCTAGTTCTAGACCCTGTTACCACTAGAAATAATCTTTCCCTATCCACCTTAGATAGCCTCCCTTCATCTTGTACACCTCTATAACATAACATGTACGAGCAGGAGTAGGCCATTCGGCTCTTCGAGCCTGCCCTGCCATTCAATCGTGGCTGATCTTCTAATCTAACTCCAGCTAACAACATAACCCTGCCTTATCCCCATATCCCTTAATCCCTTTTTTGCAATAAGAAATATATCTATCCCCTCTCAGCCTTCTGAGCTCCAAAGGAAAAAAAAAACAATTTGAGTGCTAATTTCTCCACAGTTCACATTTAGTGCTTTTAAGATAATGGTTGTAAGCGCTATACAATGAGGAATTTAGGCTTCTGATCTCTGCACAGACAATCTCTGAAGTTGGAGGTGGCGATTGTAGTGAGTTGCCCTGGGGAGAATTTTGGAGGTAGGTTTGGGACATGCTCTAGTGCTTTGGGATGTAGGTGCTAAATAAGTGTTACAGTATAAGTGTCAGAGTAGAGAACTTGGTTTGGAGGCAGAAATCTTAAGGTGATGCTCTCGGGAGAGGCCACAGGAAATATTGGAGTGGGCTCTATTATAATGCACTTGGGTCAAGGTAGAGTACACAGCTTAGATCAAAGTAGACCATATAAATGCAGGTTTTTGTTGAGTACTGAAGCCAATGAGGCTTATAGCGAAATTTAGTTTCCTGCACTTCACTTCTGACTTTTCTTTTAAAAATTATGCCAGAAAAGAAATGTGATTGTTTTCTAGCCCATATAAAACCTATGAACACACGCCAATGTGAGACTCTTTATTGTTCAGACTAAGCTGGAAGTTTAAAGAAGTTGTGCTTCAATGTCGAGTTAAATAAGTTCTTGGGCGTCTCTTGCTGTTTTTCTGGCTCCTCTAAAGAAGTGTTCTGTCAGATTTTATGCATCTTGGGATGGGGCTTTGTAAAATTGAAAAAGCCCACCTTGATGTATGCATTTTTTAAAATCTTGGTAGCTCTATTAAAATAATTAATTTGTTCTTGCATTAAAATGTGTTTTTCAACCTTCAAACATGTTCTTGTTTGTAATAACCCTGCATTGCTGGTTGCTACGTTCTTGCTGTGCAGTTTTACCTGTGGAAACAAAGACCCCGAAACCAAGGGAAGGAGGCCTAAAATGGTGATGGTGGTGCCCCCTGCACGCTCTGGTGATGAAAGGTAAGCAGCCATCGGTCTGAAGGCCTGCCAGGCTTATATACAAATATAGTGGCCAGTCAGTCAATCTTCCAGTGTTTGAATTTACATCTGTCCTCTTCTACTTAGTACAACTATGGCTGTCTGAAGGACAGCAGCCCAAGCAACCTGAGTGAGGGCAGTCAGATTGTTCTGAATAAAATCAGACCCTTTGTTTCCGTGGGTAACTTGTTGCTCTTAAAAGGACTCTTTGTGGAGTCTTGTAGCTCAGTGGTTAGAGCACTCGCTTTGCAAGCGAGACACCTGAGTTCAATTCCCGGCACAGGGCGAAACCTTGGGCAAATTTCCTTACTCCACACGCCTAATAATAATCCCTCCAAAAACCCCAAACAATAATAAATTGGTCATTTTCAATCTATGACTGTGGGACATTGTGGGTGCAATTGGCTGCCGCGTTCGCCCACAAATATACAGTCAATTCACTTTACAGTGTTTTCTGTGAAGCGCTTTGGGACGTCCTCCCGACGTGAAAAGCGCTATATCAAATGCAAGTATTATTAAAATAACCTGTCGCTCTTAATGCTTTGTTAAGGTTTCCATGTAATGATGCAGTCTTTTTAATAAAAAAAAATTCCCTGCTCCAGCTGATTGCTTCCTCTCCCCCAGCTGGGTGCTGTGCTCTGCCACTGTCAAGCGTTCTGGGTGGCTTCCCTGCTGAGGGCCACTATATAAATACAAGTTGTTGCCATTGCGTCTATAGAGTGAATAAATGCTGTCTTACTGGCGGGCTGGAGAATCTGGACCAGGCTGTAGATGGGTGGAACCTCAGAATTGTGATCAGCCCGCACCATCTGTGCACAGCATCTCTCTCAGACTCTGGCCAGAGTGATGTAATGCAATAAAAATTGCATGCAAGCTGTTTGACAAACTGATGAACAGTTCCTTTGCTGCTGATCTCAAACGAAAATGTGCAGCCGCATTTAACAGCTAGATAGTTCTAACGGTTTTGTCAAAACGGCCAGCAAACCTGACCCGATTGCTGTTTTGTGTGCACCACCAGTGAGAGTGGCAGGGAAGACAAAGCTGAAGAGAAGAAAGCGCCAGAGGAAAAACGGAAGAAGCAACCAGAACAGAAGAAAGTGAAGGAAGAAGAAGAAAAGAAAGAGAAGAAAGGTGAGAAACTGAAAAGAGAACCAGCTAAAAAGGAACCGAAGAAGGACGTTGAACCCAAGCGGAGGAGGAATGCTAAAGCCAAGTCATCTTCAGAATCTGATGGGGAGGAACCTGAAGATGATGACGTGAGTACAATTTAAATAAAGTGCATGAGGAAGCATTTACATGGACTGTACAGCACCGAAATAGGCCATTTGGCCCTATGTAACACTGCCAGTGTTTATACTCCGCATAAGCCTTTGCCCCTCCTATTCTTCTCACATTTAGCCCTCTATTTCCTTCTCCCTTGTGAATGCATCGACTTTCCTCTCAAATACATTGATGTTTTCTGCTTTGGCAAATTCCACGGTTTCACTGACCTCTGTTCCATCTAAACCGCTTTTTGAATCTGCTTGTGCCTATCAAGTATTTATGCCCCATTTCTCACCAAGTGCTGCTGAGGAACTTCAGCTTCTCTTTCTTTTCCCCGTTCCCCCACAGCAGAAGGGTATTGAGCTCATCTTGCCTATGTCCCACTCACTCAACTGGAGTTTTCCACTCTAATCCCATTTCCTTGCTCTTCCCCATTAGATCTTCATTCTTTAGGTCTTTTGTAATTGCTTTTTAAATGTTTAAATAACCTGGCTGAATGGCCACCTGGTGTTCCTTCGCTTCTAAATATAGTAATCGTTGCATATGATACAGCGCCTTATATCACTGAGACATCTCAAAGCGCTTCACAGGATATACTGTAACGTGGTGTAACTGGGTATGTTGTGGGCGAACACCCCCATGCTTTCAAAGGTGTAAATAAAAAGTTAATAATCTATATCACTGTTTGAAGTTGTTGTCATGTGGGGGGTTGAAAATTGCCATGAGAGCCTGTAATTGTAGGTAAACAGAACTTTTATCATGAAGTATCTTGTTCAGCAGACTGCTCAGTATTATTTATTTTTCTATAGCTCTGCCTTCTAATTGTTTCTTTTTCTTTTTTACTTGTTTATAAAATCCTTTTTTTTACCTGCCAGTATTGCCTGATTTGGCTTTTTTCATTACCACTTTTTCTTTGTTCTATTTTCTATACTACCTTTGCATTATCTCCAAATAAAATTGGTCATGCAATTTCAAGGCTGTTTGTTGATATTGTTGTGTGCAAATTGGATGCTAGTTAGACTTTGAATAAGAGTTGCTAAATTTTACAAAAAAAACATGTGCAGCACTTTAAGACATGTTGGCGTAATGGATGCTGTATGAAATGCAATGATTGTATATTTGTTGCCGAACCTTTTCTACATTTTTTTTCTCAATTTCTTTATTCATCCAAGGAAGACCAGTTTTTGATTAGCCCCTTTACGTTTTGTGGGAATATGTTTAGTTTGCACTTAACCATCCTAATTTTTTAAATTTCCCACTTCCTGACTTGCCAACTTTTCTGCCTATGGTTTATCTAATTCCTAGATTGATTTCAAGATCCATACACGTGTACAAATCACTTAATACCCTGGTACCTTCCTGTCTCTCAGCTGTTTGGTCCCCACTCCACTACCTGCCACCTTTGCTCAGCTGACTCCAGCCTCCTGCACTTTCCTCGTCTCTCTGCTCTACCATAAGCAGCTGTGCTTTCAGCCACTACGCCCGGTGCTCTGCTTCAATCCCTCTGCCTTGCCTCCTTCCCCGTCTTCAGATCACAGCTGAAGACTTTCTTCTTTGACTGTACCTAGGGTAATTTCTCCCTGGCTTAGTGTCGTGCTCCGCCACTGTTAAGCACTCCGACATTAACCTGCGTGAAGGGCGCTACATGGATATAAGTTGTTGTTTTTCATCTGCATGAAATGTTTTTCTCCAGTACGGTAGCTTTTATCTTTAACAGTTTGTCTCCTTCTCTTCCCTTTTAAAAGCGTATTTAGTTACGTTGTGGTTGCTGTTTGCTAAATACTCCTCTTCCCTTACATTTCTTACCATCCCTATCGTTTTTTTCCTCTTCCACCCCAAAAAAACAAATAATATTGCTTTCTATTGAAAGGAAGAGGAGAGGAGCAAGAAAACCAAGTGGAATGCTGCCAACAGGCGCAATCTAATGAAAAAGCAAAATGAGAAGGACCAAGACGAAAAGCTACGCAAAATGGAGGAGAACAAAGATGAACAGTATGTACTGTCTTCTGCTCATTAACGTTTATCTGCGTGTTAGTCAAGTTATGCCTGTGTTGGGTAATGCAGCCTCTGTTGCTGCCCTCTTGGGTCAGATGTAGCTAACTACAAAATGCAGCGTGCACTTCAGTCTTGCATTTAAGATGTCTTAACTGCCAATCAGAGAGCAGCACTCTGACTGCAAGCAGTTTATTTCCTTCCCACTCACTCCCACACTTGTTACCCTTATGGTCTCTTTCCTGAGATACACGCCAAGTCAAAATTAAGGCTTTAAGTTGTGGGCTCCTGGAAACTAGGTTTATGACTGACCAACTTAGTTCATGTGTGGTTATTGAAGCCAACAGAGATTGTCATACTGCTCGGTTAGTCGGTCTTGAAACTGTGGGACTAGTGTGTACAAATATAAATTCACACCAGAACTGTGCACTGTTGCCACTTTTTTTGCAGACTGAAATAAAAACTAATAAGTTCTAAATGAGGGAATTTGGGGCTGCGGTGATCCTGTCTTCACTACAGTACTTTGAGATTACGTGGAGATGGTGCCACTTTTGCTGCTTTTTTTTTCCTCTTGTGTCCAATTATAAGAAATTGTTACACCACTTTGGGTCATACTTTTGTCTAGGCAACCCAAAGAGGATAAAGAAGGAAAGATAGATGAAAAGCTGAACTTCAAGAAAATAGAAAAGAAAAGAGGTTGGACAACTTCTGTTTTTATGCCCTGGCTCCTCCCTACCTCTCTTCCTTGTTTACACCCCACTCCCCTATCCTTCCCCTTTGCTCCAGCCTCCTTCACTACCCTTGTCCTCTCTACTTCACCATGCTTTCAGCACTGCCCTGAGACTTTGAAACACGGCCTCAATCCCTCCACCTTACTCCCCCCCCCATCCGTCTTCAGATCTAGCTGAAGATCTTCTTCTTCGACCGTGTCTATGGTCATCTCTCCCCAGCTCGGCGTCAAGCTCCGCCACCGTTAAGCGCTCCATGATGTTACCCTGTGTGAAGGGCGCGATATAAAAGCAAGTTCATGTTTTTTTTTGCAAGTTATTACCTTGCTGTAAAATGACAATGTTACAATTTATTTAACCAGTCATTGTTTTACTTTTGCAGAAATGTCAATGGAATCCAGGCTTCATAAGTTGCATGGGGAAATTAAACTTTCGCTAAAGATTGACAAACCTGTGAGTATGCTATGCACTGATGTAGTTTGGCGCGAAGTTGATGCTTCCCATGTATTTTTAATATTGAAGAAAGATCCAAATTTCTATTAAAGTAATTGTGGAGACTTAATTCTCCAGCAAAGGAAATGGTTGATAACTTGATCTGATCGATTTGAGTTATCTTAATAGGTTTGTTTGAACCTCCTTTATTTTCAAAAATAAGCAATCTCCAGACTGTGCGTGATCAAACTGGATAGATATTAAATCAGTATATTTTCTTTATATAAAGCATTTCATAGCACAGTGTTTGATATCAGAAAGGGAATATTATTAAAAGTAGATACAAGGGTAAGCTTTCATTTTCCATAGTGTTGCATATGTTTCCAGATTTTCATTTTCTGAATAGTAAAATGTTGGCTTCTAGTTTCAGAATTCATTTTGCTTTCACACAATGTTCAGTTGAAAAGATAGCTCTGGTCAGTTTGAACTTAGGCCTCAATCAATGCTGGTGGCCCCAATTCTAGAATTGTAAATCTTTCCACAGGTCCTTTCCAGTGATTGACCCCCCCCCCCCCCCCATGAACTGGGTTTGTGTTGTCTCCTGATCTTTCTGAGAGGTTGTCTACTTGCCAATGGAGGCTTAAATGCTCATCCTGGTTGACATCCTCACATAAGTCTCTGGATAGTTATTGGCTTGAGAAAGCTTCAAATCCAATGGCCACAATCAATGCGAACCCTCAAATCCTTTATAACCAAGATAGTAGATCCAATTCAGGCTCGGGTTGCTCCAATTGTGCGTTGTAGTTTGTACATGTGTATATTTAATGTACATACTAAGTAAATAACAGGATTCACAACCCCATTGGGCTATGAATAAACTTACGATGGAATTTATTTTATGTGTTTCTTGTGTAATAACCATGGAGAAAATGTGTGATTTTTATTGTTCCATTCAGCAATTAAGTGCTTTTAACTCTAGATGCAAAACTGATGCAGTATCTTTCTCTTTGTGTTTATTTTGCAGGATGTGAAGAAGTGTATTGAAGCCTTAGATGAACTTGCATCTCTCCAAGTTACCCCACAACACCTGCAGAAACATAGTGAACTGATTGCAACGCTGAAAAAGGTTAGGTTTGACAAGAAGTTACTTAAGTGAGATATTAAAATGTCTTGGTATTTTAGTTTCTCCTTTTCTCTCTGGTGACCAAATTAATATTGGTGTACAATTCCACAGTATGTTTATGCAAGTGGTCATGTGTGAGGCTGAACTGTAAATAGAATATTTGACTGTAGGACAGAACCTGTACTCTGACATTCTCTGTATTTGCACCTGCAAAGAGGTTAAACCAAGCCAGGAGTTGGAATCCTGATCACTGGTTTGGGTTCCCATCCTCCAGGAGTTGCTGAGAGCAGGTATAATGTTTTCCTAGCTGGATCAGGCTAATTTACAGAGTCCAAAAATTGAGCGTGAGACTATGTGGCTCGTTTTCAAATCACACTACATTCTCTTTTCGAATGGTGCCGTGGGATCTTTGACTTCCATCTGAACAAATAGAGAGGATTTCAATTTAACATCTCATCCATAGGACAGCACCTCCAAACATGCAGCCCCCCCCTCTGCACTGAATTTAATATCAGTTCAGACTCGGTATCAGTTCAAAGTACTAACTCAGGGCTTGAACCCACAACAATCTGACCCTAAGCAAGAGTCCTACTGACTGAGCCACTGTGACCAGGAAGTGTCGAAACTACAAAAGACAGAATGGCCATTTGGGTTTGTTTCGAAGTATGACCAGTAATAATAATAATCCTTGCATTTGATATAGCGCTTTTCACGTCGGGAGGACGTCCCAAAGCGCTTCACAGAACACACTGTAAAGTGAATTGACTGTATATTTGTGGGCGAAGAGGGCAGCCAATTGCGCACAGCAATGTCCCACAAACCGTCGCAGATTGAAAATGACCAATTTATTATTGTTTTGGGGTTTTTTGGAGGGATTATTATTAGGCTCTGTGTGGAGTAAGGAAACTTGCCCAAGGTTTCGCCCTGCCTGGAATTGAACTCAGGTCTCTCGCTTGCAAAGCGAGTGCTCTAACCACTGAGCTACAGGACTCCACAGTAGTTCTTGTTCTATCTTCCAGTGGTGGGAGATCCTGGAGTGTTACCCTTGACTAAGTCCAAATGTGAGAATTGAACCCCTCAGACACTGAGGCGACAGTGCTACCAACTGAGCTAGGCCGATGCCTTTTATTTACTGAGCCACTTTTTGTGGGTGTTTACTGAGTAAATATGCAGAAAAGTAGGCGGGCTAAATTGAATCATACTTATTCTATTAGATTCCACCTATTTAAAGACAACTTTTTTTTTCTGTGTTGCGCCTACATGGGATGAGATGAATTTATTCTTGTATGTTTGGCATAAACAGCTGAAAGTAGAAGTAACTAACTGTCGAAGCAGAATTGTCTGGTTCTGACCTGATTGTGTGAGGGCCTGGTTTCTATTGAAGCAATAATTAATAACAGAACGGAGAATGGAGTGCAAAATTCTTAACAGAAATCATCACGTACATTAAATCTCGACGCTGGAAGTTGCTCGTAGAATGGAAAGATTTGAGGGCAAACTTGCAAAAACAGGATCCTCATTGCAGAATGCATATGCCATGCGTTAACTATGTTTAAACTTGTCAAGCACTGAGGACACGGGGAGGAGAAGCAGTGTGTGAAGCTTCAATAATGTTCTGCATCTGCAAAATGTTCAGTTTCAATTCACTCATCTCCTCTCACTACAGATTCGACACTACAAAGCCAGTCAGGATATCATGTTCAAGGCGGATATGATCTACAACAAATTCAAATCTATGTTCTTGGTTGGAGAAGGTGATTCAGTGATCACGCAAGTACTCAATAAATCTCTGGCGGAACAACGACAGCATGAAGAGGCGGTCCGAGCTCGAGAACAAGAAAGAAAGGCCGATTTGATGGAGACTAACAAGAAAGATAATGCGGAGGAACAAGCGTCAGGTAGGGTTGCTCTTGTCTTTTCCCCTTACCCATCCGATTCTGAGTCAACTGCAACAACAAAATTACATTTGTATAGCGCCTTTCACGTTGGGAGGACGTCTCAAAGCGCTGGACAGACAGTTATGGACCTGAGCTGGGGGAGCTTTTTTTTTAAAAAAATGCAGTTCTTTGAATTAAAATGCTCTTTCCCAACTTCCTCTCCCCACACAGTTCTGATGACATTTTGTTGGGAATAACATTCATCCCTCTGCAGCAATTGGGCATATTGATTAGTACTAGAAGTTATTCATAATTGGACTGTGATCGCACACCTTCACGTGAGGGGAGGATATTGCTGGTAGTTGTTGGCCACATCTCTGGTCTCTGGTTTTCATAATAAGGAATTGTTGCTAGCTGCTTTGGGCATTGATGTACCTAAGTTTAGCTATGGAACTGTTTTACTACATTGTGCATTGTCTTTGTAAGTTTTATTTTTAAAAAAAAAACTTTGTAATTTGTAGTTGTGTGCAAAACCAAAATGATTTAAGTTCTGGAGGAATCCCACTGATGCGACTTGTAACAATGGGCTTTGTGTTTTACTATCAGACCCTCAGGCAGTGAATGGTGAAGTCGTATCCCAAGAGGCAGAGAACGGGCACTCGTTGAAAGGAGTCGAGGGTCAGCAGGTGGCTGGAGATGAGAAGAAGAAGAGGGGCCAGGACGGGCTACAGTCAGCACAAAATAGGTGAGTATGCTGAGGGGAAACGACTGAGCTTCACCACAAGGAATTTGCCTACGTAGATCTTCAGTTTCTTTGCTTTCATGCCAGTTGCATGGACCGGATGGGAACCATTCCCATCTCGTATCTTGTCCACAGCCCTTTATAAATCAGCATGTTAGCTGATGAGCCTTGTGTACAGGGATACATAGGGATGCTCACCTGTACTTTGAAGGACGTTGTCCTGGGCATTTGTAGGTTTAACCTGCACAGAAGCCTCATCAAAATCATGAGGGCAAGTTAACCGTGAGGAATATCAGGACTCGGCAAATGAATACCTTTCCACTCTTAATATAATATTGAATGTAATTCATATATATATATATATCAGTTTGGCCTAGAATGGCCAGTGGGCTCAGTGCATTGCAGTCCTGTTTGTAAAACACTGGCATAAATTGTGTTTTCTGTTCAGGTGCTATCTTGCAAACTTCTGCAATATGCCAAGTCCAGCTTCAGGTCTAACCTGTTGGACCACTTCAGTTCTCTGAATTGTCTTTAGATATTCAAATATTCCAGATGAGAAATCATCTTTACCAGAGAGTGTTTGCAGTGGCAAGATGAGCAATTTTACCTAGTTAAGCTCCAGCGTTACCCCCATTGCACATTCTGGAGTCAGTAGTTTGATAACCTTAAATATGGTAATGGCTTTCAGCGAGCACCGACACCCAGCTGAAATGCACACTTTTCAGTATTCCATCCGTTTATGGTAAAACATCCAATCCTTGATCTTAAAGTAGTGTCTGTGACATGACGTGATGTGGATATTTTGTTCACTTTAGGGAGCTGGATCTACCAGATTCCTCACAATCAGCAAAGCAGCTAGCAGCTGAAGCTGAAGTCAGTCAAACAGCGAGGGCAGCAGCCACTGAACACTGAGCAGCCTCGACAGGCACAGTCAGCACTAGTTTTTAGAAATGGAGAGCGTGGCATACAAGTTTGGTTTGTTTGTTCTTGTATTTTGTAACTGTTCTCAAACGGCTGATAACTCCGGTTTGATATGTAGAGAATTTGCTTTTTTTAAAAAAAATCACAACCCCTGGACATCAGTGAAACCCCTTTTTTTTAAAAAAAAGCACATGGCAGTATACAGCCACGGCATAGATGTACATTTTCTTTTTTTTTAATGTTCTATATAATGGTGATTAGTAGGTGGTGGCTTTTTTCCCCAAAATGTGTATAGCATTTCTGTGGTTTTATGTTTTTTATTTTGATAGGATGTATCTTCATTTTTTTGTCCTAATTAACCAGTTATGCCAAATCTGCTTTAACGCCAAATATTTCAATTGATCTTAGATTCTTTTTTCCTGCATGTTGGATTTGCAGGTAGTATTGTATTGTAAACCAACATTCATGTTTGTTTTATTAAAATAAGTCCTTTTATACTTGTTTGGTTATAGTTGATATTTCCCAAATACATCCATTATATTAGTTTTTCTTTTAACGACCTGTAAAGGTCCTATGCAGAAGATGCATTTTCAAATTGTAATCGTAAACTAACAAGAGTTCTGAATTGCTTTTTATTTTTTTATACTAGATCTGTCTTTGTACTACTAAATTCTTCCACTCCAGGTGAACTTTAGAAGTGCTTATGTGTGGCAGTTTGCTTCAGCTGTATGGGGAGGATTTAGGCCTTGAACTTTGCTGTAAACTTGCACCAAATAAATGTTTGCTTCATTAACAGCAATTAGTTGATCTTTCATTTTAAAAAATACTAATTGGACTTGGTTAATGGTTGTTGGTAAACTCTTGGGCTAATTACAAATGCATAAATTAATTAGGTTAATTACAAATGCATCCATGTGATAAGGAGCTATGATTACCATGTTTCTTCACGCCTAAGGCGTGGACTTCAATGTCCTCCACTCCTTCCTAAACCTCACCCTCCACATCAACTTGCTGACCCACAACCGTGGCCACCTCCTCGACTTCGTCATCATACATGGCTCAGCACCTTGGGACGTCCTCCGGAAGTGAAAGAAACTATACAAATGTAATCTTGTTGTCTATCAGGGACAAGGCCATCTTGGACCACTTCCTCATCTCCCTCTTCTCCCACACCCCCTCTCTTCCAAGCCTTCCACACCATCTCTTTCCAACCCTGGAAAAAGCTTTCCCCTGAGTCCGACACAAATGCCCTCTCTTCCTCAGACCTCCTCTCTTTCTGGCCCTCCACCTGCAGTGATCCTAATAATAATCCCTCCAAAACAAAATAATAATAAATTTATCATTTTCAATCCACGACTGTTTGTGGGACACTGCTGTGTGCAAATGGCTGCCGCTTTTCGCCCACAAATATACGGTCAATTCACTTTACAGCATATTCTGTGAAGTGCTTTGAGACGTCTAGAAGATATGAAAAGCGCTATATCAAATGCAAGGGTTATTATTATTATCCTGATGCAGCCATCAAGCTGCTGAATGACCGTCTCTCCAATTCCCTGGCTCCCCCAAAGTCCAGGGCTGTTTACAAACCCACCAACTCCCACTGGTACAACAGTCATCCCCGCTCACTCAAAATAAACACATGGCAGAAATCCAGCCTCACGATTCACCGCCATATATATGCGGATGACACAAATCTACTTTGCTTCCTCCAGTACCAACTCCAGGTCCGCCAATGTTCTATTAACTTGTCTGGCAGACATCAGGGCCTGGATGAGTGTAAACTTCCTGCAGCTGAATATGCACAAGATGGAAGCCATACTTGGTTCCCGTCAACATCTTCACTCCTACGAATCTAAACTCCTCAACCTCTCTAGGCTCTCCCTCAGACTCACCGAACCAGTGCACAACGTAGATGTCTGGTTTGACCCCCAACTGTCCTTCCTCTCCCACATCCAGTCCCTGAATAGGACTGTTTTTTTTCACCTGTGCCACATTGCCTGCCTCCTACCTTACCTTACTCCAAATGCAGCTGAAACCCTCTTGCATGTGTTTGTCACCTCCCGTCTGGCTTACTCCCACCACCTTGCCAGTCTCCCCAGCTCCACCGTTCACAAGATCCAGCTCATTCAGAACTCCAGCCCACATACTGACCCGGACCCACATCTCATCAGTTCTGGCCAGGCTCCACTGGTTCCCCATCGCTGAATGGATTGACTTGAAGATCTTCACTCTCGTGTTCAAATCCATTCACTTCCTGGCACCTCCCTACCGTTCCTCTTCTGTGGCTTTCATGTCAGGCTATCCCAAAGTGCTTCACTGGATCTACTGTTGTGGATTAGTCATTCACTTTATTTGTGGGCAAACACAGCAAATTTTGCGTAAGGTAAGTCCCACAAACAACCTTGAAGTGAATGACCAATTTTAATCTATGGGATTGTGCCTTTACCATCCACTTGAACAGGCTACTAAGTAGGTACTGCCTTGTTTGAATGTTTCTTTAGCAAAACGTGAAGCCTTGATAATCAATTTCTGTGACCAGCAAACAAATAATACTCAACTTCATTCACATTTGAGCTCAGTCTGACTGAATAACCTTTGAGATACTGTATTCAACTTTTATTGGCACTGTATATTGTCCAGTCTAAGGTTTAAATACTTAAATTGCTACATTATCTGAGATTTTAAAGTTAACTGTTTAATCACAAGCTTAATTTTCAATAAAAGGGTGGTTGGCATGTGGAAGAAAATGACCAGCACAGATGGTAAGAGCAAGGGTTTCAAATGGAAGCTGGACAAATTCTGAAAATTGATTCAGGGCTAGTAGAATGATATAGATACAGCCATACTTTTAGGAATATTGTTGGGACAGTTAGATTAGTGAAGGAAAACTATTTGAGCCAGGACAGTGTTGCATTACCAGAGGTACTATCCTTTGAGACGTTAAACCAAGGTCCTGTCTGCCTGTTCAGGTGGATGGATGTTGAAGATCCTATGGCACTATTTGAAAAGAAGGGATACCCAGTGTCCTGGCCAATAATTCCCCAAATAAAATTCGGCATTCATTTCATGGCTGTTTGTGAGATATTGCTGTCTAAAAAAAATTGGTGTCTGGTTTCACTTACAAAATAATCACTGCGCTTTACCAGTATATCTTGTAAAGCACTGAGTGTCCTGATGATGTTTGGGATTATGCCAAATGTAAGTTATCTGAAGGATGCCTCCCATCATTACTGCACTCTCCCAGTACTGAACTGAGTATCAGCTCGGCTGGTGGCTAATCTAGCTAAATCTGTGTTGGAGCAGTGTCTTGTTTCCAGTAGCTACTGAGTAGCGATTTTATGTTGAGTGAGGCTATGATCTCATCTACTAACAGCACTGAAACCCACCTTCTTTTGAGAAAGAGCCAAGAATGAATGCTGCCAAGTTTCCATCTTAAACTTAATGAAGAAAAGCTCTACTGCCACTCATATGACCCTCCCAATACAGTATCTCTATAAGTTAGTAGAAGGGAGTTGTTTTAACATTCCACAGCATATTTGGATTGTACAAGTGGTATAGCTAATAAACAAATCTTTGTATAAATGTTTTGTATAAAAGTACAATTAAGGCTTTTGAAAAAATTATTTAGTAAGTTTTACTGCAGTTAAAGTACAATTCAAACAACATCATGAAGATCAAGTTATAATAATAATAATAATCCTTGCATTTGATATAGCACTTTTCACGTCAGGAGGACGTCCCAAAGCGCTTCACAGCACATACTGTAAAGTGAATTGACTGTATATTTGTGGGCGAACGCGGCAGCCAATTGCACACAGCAATGTCCCACAAACAGTCGTAGATTGAAAATGACCAATTTAATTATTGTTTTTGGTTTTGGAGGGATTATTATTAGGTGTGTGGAGTAAGGAAACTTGCCCAAGGTTTCGTCCTGTGCCTGGAATTGAACTCAGGTCTCTCGCTTGCAAAGCGAGTGCTCTAACCACTGAGCTACAGGACTCCACAAGTACAATAAGTTGTACTTATTACATTTGTTGACTGCCATCCATCTTACTGAATTATACTCTGGGTTATTATATAACTTTAGTTATGCCACTGTGGCCTTAAACGATGGGAATAGTTGCGAGTATTCACACAAAGATGAGTATAATGTCCTTTCACATAATTTTAATGAATTTCAGCAGTGGAGATAAATATGTCATTACAATCTTAGAAATTATACTATGAATCAGTATAAATATACTATTTTTCCAAGGCAGTGAGACCTGGGGACTGAGCAGGTTTGTAATACTGATCTACCACCACTAGATGGTTCTACAATGCCTACATTTGAGTTTATGCAACGTGAGTTTGGTTGGTAACAATGGCAATATTTAACTCCATCTTTCCAATATCTGAAGAAGCCACAGCTTCTTGGGAGTTTTTTTATTAAAAAAGTTATACTATGTCCAAAATCTTCAGCTTCATTTAACTTATTCATTTCTTATATCACAGTGGGAATAAGGTTAAGTATGAAGGCACATGTTGCATTAACCTGGACAGTAGGCATCCTGCAATCCAGCCATCAGTTAATTTACTGGAACACAGGGGGATCCAACCTATTCATGTTTGAAGGACCGAGGATCTGTTTGCACCTCCTCCAAGTCCCACCATTGAGCCAGACAGACTGGTCAACCAATAATAGCTTGGATTACTGCAGGCCCAATTATCACCTCAGAGGTCAGTTCAACGCCTGAGGGCACTTTACCCCCTCCACCCCTCCAAAAGATGATATTTTTAAGACATGGTACTTATTTCTCAACATTGAAATTCAAAGAGTGAGGGCTGAATTCCTCATCTATACCATGTGAGCAACCCACCTTTGTACAAAAGAACAGGTGAAATGTCTGTTTCATCTGTGGAGGAGTTGGTGCAGTATTTGACTGACTGCCATAAGATCCGACTTTTATAGCCCAAAGTCAACCAAATACAAAGCCCACAGTAGCCCAACAGTCTGCATTGCTTACTATGGATAGCAGAGTGGCCAATTTAGGTAAGGGTTTTTGAAACTGTAAGAAAAGGTCTCCATACAGAAAAAAAAACATTTTGCCGCTTTAAATTAAAAATTAGGCACCCGCCCAAAGACGTTTTTTCCCCGTCCAGTACAATAAAAACACGCTCAACTGGGAGTGAACAACAAGTCTGACAACATTGCTGATGACAGATACTAGTTCCAAAGCTAGTCTGACCGGCCTCAAATTACACTGCCGTGGCCACTTTTTGCCTTGCATTTAAAGCAGGGCCAAAAACAGATGCTTCTGATAAAATTATGGAACAGATATTCAGAATTCAGCACTCAACAGAAAATATTAAAATATAGACTCTTAACATAGCTCTTAATTAAACATTCCTGGATCAACATAGGGATATGCTAAGAATTCTCCCATTTTATTCCCATCAGTGTCATAGTGAAGCATCTTGAAGCAAACATTGCAAAAGTAGGATGGATCATCTGGGGCAAAAGAATCATTGTTCGTCACCCACCTAAAGAGAAAAAAAGTGTTTTTACTATTTATTTCCTCCTCTCCACCGGGAAAACGCTACAGAACGTGGTCAACAAAATATATTATGATACAGAATATTACTTACCTAACTATATATAACTTGCAGACAGAGCACTTTCGTGTCCGAAACCAGGGTTTTCTGATTACACAAGGGTACAATGTTTTATCTAGGCAGTCATCACGATGCGCAAGTCTATCAAAGAAAATAATTAACAGGACAGTATCAGTGCTTAGTTCAGTTTGGTTCTTCATGCAAGAATTGTAAGGATATTATTTGAGGACAATGGGGACACCAACCACAACAAATTTATATAATAGCTTTCAGGTTAGGATGACTCCTCAAAGCACTTCGGACAACTGACTGGGAGCCTGAGCTTTGGAGAGGAGGGTAAAATGGCTGAAAGTGAAAGTACTTTAGGTGGTTGTTGAAGGCATGGATGAATGTGTGCTGATTGGAAGGAGTGGCAAGGATAGTAAAGTTGCTGGGTCGCGGAGGTAAGGTGGAGAAAAGCTATGGTGGCATTTGAAAGTAAAGACTAAAATCTTGAATTTGATTTGCTGAGGCTAGTGCATCAGTGGAGTTAAGCGAGCTCATAGCCTGGTGGGAAATGATGACACAAGCTGCAAAATTCTGGATGGTCCACACCTTGTGTCAGGAGCTGGGAATCTTGTGAGGACAGTCAAATAATCATGCCTAGAAGTGTTGAAAAGTGAGGGTCTCACCAGCCTGGGGAGAGGTAGTGGTGTACGACATTGTGGAGGCGAGGAGAGCTTGTGAGATTTGAAGGGGGTAAGGTTTGAAGGATAGTTGGAAGGGGGAGGAACAAGACATAGGTGTCCAACACTGGCTCCACAAGTAAGCATCACATAAATACTTTTGCATATGTAGGTCTCTTAATTATTGCACAATTAAGAAATACAGTCAAACCTCTCTTCAATAATCTCAGGGAACTGGGCTAAAGTGACCTTTATATAAGGGTGGCAAATGTCAAGTTCATTAGTGTGCGAAACAGGCTGACCCAGGGTGGTTGTGAACAGGGGGTGGTGCTTCAACAGATTCGACTGTTCACAGCTGCCCATACTTCAGTTTGGAAGTAATCAGATAATAATAATAATAATAATCCTTGCATTTGATATAGTGCTTTTCACATCTTCTAGACGCCTCAAAGCGCTTCACAGAATAGACTGTAAAGTGAATGGACTGTATATTAGTGGGCGAAATCAGGCAGCCAATTGCGCACAGCAGAGTCCCACAAACAATCGTGGATTGAAAGGACCAATTTTTTTTTGAGGGATTATTATCAGGCGTATGCAGTAAGGAAACTTACCCAAGTTTCACCCTGCCGGGAATCGAACCCAGGTCTCTCACTTGCAAATCGAGTGCTCTAACCACTGAGCTACAGGACTCCACATGCAGTTGATTATCTAAATGCCTTTTAAAATTGTCCTGGTGTGCCTACTTATGAGCAACTGGAATTCACTGTTAGCAAGGTGCATTACATTACCTGATGTCTGTAATGATGATAAGGTGTTCACAGTCTCCCTGGTGACAATACAAATAGGGACACCCAATTTTAATCCACATATCGTTGAACGTGCGGTCCTCCATCTTGGCCATTTTAAAGTTCCCATATCCTCGATCATGGGATTCTGCCCATTCAGTGATTGTTCTAAAGGAGAACATACCGAGCTATCAGAAGGCAGTGCTGTACTCAGCAGGAATTACTCTGCATCAGTAAATCAGATTGGAGCAGCTTGGAACCGTATGCAAAGCCATTTATGTTTAAATGGAAGAAATGTGCATTGGCCAGTGAGTTATTGCAACCAGTCATTATATAACATAAGAAATGCTAGATGAAAAAAGACCAAGGTCCTCTAGTTCGCTTTCCACCTTCCTGGTGGTCGCATGCACATATGTCCCAAACTATATCCCATTATGTTATTTTCTAAAAGAAAACTATCTAACCTGTGATTGAAAGAATCAACACTTCCTGTTTCAACCGTCTCCCTAGGGAGCCTGTTCCACAGGTTCACTGTTCACTCACTTGAAATAGTGTTTGTGTAGAATTGTTCTGAATTTACCCCCCTTCAATCACAGGCAGTATCCTCTGGTTTTACTATTCTGGACAAATTGGAACAGCCTGTCATGATCTATATTGCCTAGCTGCTTTATTTAAGTTGATTTAATTATTTTTCTAAACTAATTTTCTCCCCTCACCACCTAATGACAAACCGATTCCTATATTGAGAAGGCTGTTAGCAGGATATTTAACCAAGAAGAAATGGCATCATATTCAAGCACAACATGATCCTCAACCAATGGACAACCAGCTTTCTCCAAGGTTTCTGCACAGCTACCAGAAGCAGCAGCTCATTGATTTTCTCTTCCTAATAATGGAGCACTGCGGCCATCAGCCAGTTCAGACAGAAATTCAACCTGTAACCCTATGGTCTTTACGACACGGTGCATTCATCCACTAGGCACAATGAAGTTAATTCGTATCTACTGGCTCACTTATGAAGTTTACAAATGTGGCCACAGGTGAGGCCATATTTATGCTTTTTTAAATGATCAGCAACATCCTTATCTGTGACAATTCTGTAAAATTAAAAAGACGGCAGTAATACAAAATCACTGCTAATCAGCAAATACCATACATTGTGGAGAAGCTATTTTTGTTTTTTTCCAAATATTCTCAAAAATTTAATACGCAAGATTATTTTATAAATACCCTTTGAGAATAAGGAAGACCTGATGCATCGAGTAAAATATCCTGGAAGAATGTGCACGTATCAGTACTCTCCTCAGGAGATCCGACAAGTTCTTTCTGCTGGAAATGTTAACCGTCTTTTCTCTTTCAGTTGAAAACTGATCTTCAGCATATGATTTTTTATTTCTGATGGCACACTTTCCTAAGCAACTTTAAGAGATGTAAATTAATTTCTGTTCAATGTAGACAACTACCCAGATTTTAGTATTAAACAGGCAGCTACACTTTAATGAAAGGAGATCTAACCAAAATCCCTGTGGAGTACAAAACTTACTGTGATCAGAGAATAATGGGATGTCTGTTACATGAAATGTAAATACACCTCAATACAGCAGAAGTATCCAATCAGCAGTGTTTTTGGTTAAGGTACACTGGTAGCACAGCTTGAGGGCATCAATCCACATCCAGTCAGATGTTGGCATATCAAATATTTTCCACAATGAGAATTCCCAAATTTACCTGAAAACCCAACTGGCCTAAGATTAAACCTGTTTCAATTACTTTATTAAGACAGACATGCCAACAAGTTGTTCCACGCTTAAAGGTAAAATTATCACATAAATACCGAGCACATTACTCTTCAAGCAAATGGGTCCATAAAGAGTGCTGGAAAGGCATTCATGAATAACCCATTCTATGACTGAGTTCTCCACTGTACCTGCTCAGATTTCTGCACTCTGGGTATCTCATATCATTATAGAAGGTATCTTCAAAGAAGAAAAAAGCAGACTTGTATAAATCCTACCAGAAAAGGGGGAAACATGATATTTATTAGTCTTATTTATTAATTTTTAATTCAATACAAACAGCAGGCAGTAAAGTTTTCACCAGCTAAATGCAGATCTTCTCAATACATCATTACAAGTTCTGGTTATTGTGAAGCCACCTGATCTCTCTCCCCTGTGAATTACATCACAATTTATAACTTTGCTAAAATTGCTGTTTGCATTTATTGGCAATGAATTTTGTTCATAGAATTGTAAACGCAAAATATTTTAAGAATAATCCTTGCCTTTGATAAAGCGCCTTATCATGTCTTCGAGACGTCTCAAAGCGCTTCACAAAATATACTGTAAAGTGAATGTATATTTTGTGGGCGAAACACAGCAACTAATTGTGCACAGCAATGTCCCACAAACAGCCATGGATTGAGTGACCAAATTATTTTTTAACAAAGGCGTGTGGAATAAGGAAATTTGCCTAATGTTTCACCCTGCCCAGGAATTGAACCCAGGTCCTCTTGCTTGTGAGGAGAGTGCTCTAAACACTGAGCTAAAGGATTCCATATTGTTTAAAATAAACAGCAGAATAGATAAACAGAATAACCTGATACTTCTAGAAGTACAGGTTAAGACCTAAATAAAAGTTACTACCAGAAGTAATAATCTGTAAAAAGACATGTTTACAATTATTGTATAACACAGCTTTTGTAGCTTTCTGTGACTCCATAGAGGTCTGTCAACTCAAATTTCGTAAAGTGATTATTATATGTTCCACTTCATAAAATATTCAGTACTTTTTGTAAACAAAATAAACCGTCAATAGATGTACAATCCTTGTATCTATCAGATGTCACATTGGAAAAACACCTCCGCTTTGCCAATCTATTCCATGACTTAGACAGGGGTTTGCACAGGAAACATAAATGTTCTTTACTGCTTTCTGCTTCTACAGGATACCTTGCGTCTCTTTACCAAATACACTCAAGACAATCCTCCACAGTGATTGTGTTATAAACGATTTTGTTCTTCACTTTTTATAACAAGTATCACAGCTTATTATTCTCTTCACAGATAAACTAAACATATTGTTGCATCTTTGTAACTGAGTTTACTGCTGATCAGCGTAATGGTTTACGAAAAAAAAGGAAAAATCCCAATATTGAAGGTGTATCTTGATGCCGAGGCATGGCTGCAAACAAAACGTACCTTGCTGACATGTTCAGGAGCTAGGTCTGGAGTACTACTGAATTCTCCACCAATCTGAAGATCACTAACGCACTTGATGGCATCCCTCAGATCAGTCAGTTTCTGACTGCCCAACACCAGCATGGTTAGGTAGGGCTTTACTTCTTTATGCTGCCAGAAAATAAGGTCAACATTTCAATCATAATTTTTTGAACACAATCCACTCACTATTTCATCTATATAATAATTCTTGCATTTAATATAGCGCCTTATATTGTTGAGAAGTCTCAAAGCGCTTCACAGAATATACTGTAAAGTTTACAAAACGCAGCGGACAATTATGCAGACCAGTGTCCCACAAACAATCATGGATTGAGTGACCAAATTATTATATTTTGTATTTTTTTGAAGGGATTATTATCCCCAGAAAGTGATCCGCCAATCGACTAACAACTGGGTTCCTACTTACTGTTAGGTAAACAGAGGCGTGTGGAGTAAGGAAACTTGTCTAAGGTTTCACCCTACCCAAGAATTGAAACCGGGTCCTCTTGCTTGCAATGAGAGCGCCACTATGCAACAGGACTCCGATCCATATACACATGGATTTGTAAAGAATTGGTAGCTTAGGTTTCAGCAACTACTTAACCATTTCAATTTGAACAGCATTTCAGGCCAAAATAGTACTGCTGCTATTGATTTAGTTCAGGGGCAGAGGTAGGCTGAAAGAAAATTACCAGCATCAGAAAATAAATCCTTGAGCAATGTTTTCTAAAATCTATTCAGGAACATATTCAAATACACCTCGATGGTAAAAGAAAACTTGAACTAAATGCTGAAGTAAATTAATCATGCAATAGTAAATCAGTACTAAACTGTCAAATAGTAATTTCAACTTCTTTTAAAAAAGTGATTAAATAATGGCAATTAACATATCAAAATGTAAGTTAGAATGATACTGGTATTCAGATAACCAACAAAGCCACTGCAAACTGTAATTTAGTCGGGAAATTCACTTACTAAGAAAGTCCTGTCAATTACCAATGACTGGTGCAGAAGGTTCTATAGATTATCAGGAAATATGAATGTATTTTCTCCAATTATAAAGTTATCTTTAATCCACTGACATTCTCGCTATACTGCATACCTCTATGACTTTCTGCAGCCTCTTCTGTTCACTCACTCCACTTGCCAGCTACCCACCATCTGCCTCATCACCTGCTTTCAGCCACTATGCCTCACCTCTGCGACTTGCACCCTAAACCTCTCCATCTCACCCCAGCTGTCTTCAAAAGCCTACTTATGTATGCCTGCAGGGACCGCTCCAATTACATCTCTGTATAGCATTCTGAGACATTACTCTCTGTGAAGGGTACAATATTAATACAAGTTATTGTCTCCATTCATTCATTTAATTTAATTTCTCTGCTGCCACAATTCTGAAAATGAGGAAATGTTAAAGAGAGTAGCAATGCAAATGGAAATCCATATAAATTCAGCTCAATGGTTGATGCTGTGCTTGTATCCTCAATTACGTTCTCTTTTTGTACTGCAGAATGCTGTGAAACTGCTGGTTTGACTCTGATGCAAAAAAACCATTTTAGTTAGGTGCATGCATATTACTTTTCTAGGAATGTAATTTAGCTGGACTTTTCAGAACCAGCATAACAGAATTATGAACCAGCAGTATGAGAGTAACTGTTTATAAGGGTCAAAGAGCAAGATAAAAGAAAATCAGAAAACGAGAGAGAGAGAGAGAGATACAAAAAGAAAGTTGCAAACAGAAAGACACTGAGAAAAATAGAATCAAGAGTCAGGTAGAAAGAAAGAGAAAATGAGAGAAAATCAGAGAGTGATATTATCAATAAAGTATAGCTCCTGATGGAAGATGATTTTGGTTAGCACTGTGGTCTATTTGCATTTTGCACGATGTTGAAATACTGTACAATTTCAACTAAGCTCCAGGAGGACTCTCACCAAAGCCCAAAATTGGCCAGAATTCAACACTATAGGAATTATGTACAACAGAGGGTGTTGCACTGATGAGATCTCAATGTTAAGGCACAATAAATGAGGAAGTTTACCCTGCCAACAACCTCGCACATTGATGTGGCGGTTAAGATCCACAGAATCCCATTCCAGGCGATAACGAGACACAATTGCTGACTTTACTCCATGTGGCCTTAACTTTAAGGCCTCATCAGTGCAACATAATAGTGTTATCATAGTGTTAGTGTAATAGTAGTGTTGTTGAACTATGGCCAATTTCAAGATGCTCACACTCACCTGCAAAATCACTTCATGCCCTAGCACCTACCTACCTCTCCAACATGCTCCATTTCTCCATAGAGGGCCTCCATTTCTTTGCTCAGCCAGCTCAGGCTTCCTGCACATCCCGACACCTCATCACCATACCTTTAGGCCCGAACCTCTGCAAGGCAGAGGGCCTCAATCTTCCTTCTTTCCTCAGCTCAGTATCAAAGTACTCACTCCATTCTTCTGCCCTCTGATACACTTATCCCATGTGAAGGGCACTATATAAATACAAGCTGCTGTTGTGTTTTAATGGGACTGTATCGAAGCACTCACATAATGCTGCACTTATCCTACCCAGAATATATAGTGAACAGTGTCCAATAATCCTTAAAACTTACCTTAAAAGCTATAATCGGGAAGTAGACATGAACAGAAAGGATCAGTTCGCCAGGTTGAATAGTGTCTTCTGGTTTACTGGGTTTCCTTCCAACTATGTGCATTTCCTGAATTGTGCAAGAACAAATAGCTGCTCAACAAATTGGCGTTCCTTCTGTGACAAAATTGTAAGACATTGTCTAGAAAATTAAAATAAGTTGAATGTTGTCTGTCTTTCAGATTTAGGATTCTTTAACACATCCCAAATTATTTCCCAAATCCCATTTTGTATCCAAGCGGTAATACCTTGGCATCCTCCTCAATTTCTTCAGTAATGCTCACTCTAGAAAAGACCAATATTCAAAAAGGGGCCCTTATTGCAGCAACATTTGCTACACACAAGAAGTTGAACACAAAGATGGCAATGAATGCCATTCTTTTACAATTATTTGTACTGATATTCAAGAACTGAACATACTATGAGTTTTAATGTAACTGAAATCTCTATAAACACATTTTTCAAATTGAACGCATTAACAGACACAAAAAAACAGAAGACTAAGATGCCCAGTGGGCTAATGTCTGGCATCTCCTAATACGTTGACAAATGGGAAAACGTTGCTTCCAGGAAATAGGTATTTAAATTGAGGGACTGCAAAAAAGAGACTGTGAAAATTCATTTTACATAACTGGTATGCTTATGTAAGCAGATAATCAGAGATATTCAAATAGAAAACCTTATTTCCAACCTGAAATTAAACTTGAAGATCACTTTAAATTCAAGTAAAACTTACATGCTCATTATCAAACAACTCTTGCCTGGAAATTCGATCATAAATTAAACGTTCCTCTCGGCTTTCAATTGCTTTTCGACGAATTCTGTACAAGAAAAACATTAAAAGATGAGTCAATTTACTGCAAACATTAATCAGTTATGGTTTTTGTTCAAAACTAAATTTTACTCCATTGTAATTTTTTTTCTTAACCAGAGGATTAACAATTATACTTTTTTTAGAAAAAATTAAATATAGAATAAATAGAGGTAGTCACTTCATCACCGATTAAGCAGAGGAAATATTTTCCATCATACAACAACAACAAAATTACATTTGTATAGCGCCTTTCACATCAGGAGGACATCCCAAAGCGCTGGACAAATAGAGTTTCAGACCCGAGCTGGGGGTCGGTGTCGGTGCAGGGCGGGAAGCAGGGAGATCGAAAGCATGGTCGAAGAGGTGGGTCTTGAGATGGGTCTTGAAGGTGGCAAGGGAGGGAGCGAGGCGGAGGGACTGCGGGATGGAGTTTCAGAGGGTGGGGGCAGAGTGGCAGAAGGCCTGCCAAAAGTGGGGCGAGAGAGGTGGGGGATGTGAAGCTGGCCCGGTGCCTGCTGAGAGGACAGAGCTAGCAGGATGTAGGGAGTTAGGAGGTTTCAGAGGTAGAGGGGAGCAAGACCATGGAGGTCTTTGAAGGTGAGAACTGTATCCTCTGTGTGATGGGAAGCCAGTGGAGTCGGACGAGGATGGGGAAATAGGGTCATAGAGCCTGGCGCAGGAGAGGACACGGGCTGCAGAGTTCTGGATGATCTGCAGCCTAGGGAGGGAGGAGTTGGGGAGGCCGACAACCAATGAGTTTGCATAGTCAAGCCTCGATGTAATGAAAGCATGTATGAGGGTTTCGGTGACCTGTGGTGTGAGACAGTGGCGGAGCCGGGCGATGTTTTACATCATACACCATGTTTTATAATTAAAAGTCTCCTGAATATGAATGCACCAGCACTGTACCAATCACCATATTGGATGGCATATTAAGTTCCGCATTTCCAGGATCCTGGCTCGGGATCCGTGCCTGCCACAGAGATTGACTTGATTCCAACATTCCATAGCTATGTGCGTCACCTTGGAGCCAGCTCAGCTCCGCAGAGACCCTGCTTAGCTCCCCCAAGGAGAATAGTCACTAGCCTGGCTATTTGCCATTTGGCAAGTGGAGGTTTGCACCTTCACGCGGTGGATAACAGGTACTTGGGACTGCCTGCAGCACAGATCAGCATGAAATGTGTCAGAGCACTGCCACCGTCCTCCTGTTCACGATTCGGATTCACATCCTACCAACTGAAGCAGCTCTGGACAAGCAAGCGCAACGTCAGCAAATTGCTGGTATCCAACTATAGATGCTAAATTAACAAACTGAGGCAGAAAGAAAACAACTTAGAGAAATTGATATTTTGTTTCGTTAAGTTAAGACTGGTATCAATTACACCTAAAGGAATCAAAAGTTACTCTGCCTCATGGAAAAGCCATTTTTTGAAGAGAGGCGCAGTAAAATGTCAATTTTGGATTCCACAACAGGCTGTTTTGGGGAGTCCAGACCACATTTAAATTTTCTATTTGCTGTCAGGAATTTTCTTCTATTAAAAAATTTAATTTTCTTTGCAACTTAAATTTAGGATACAAAGTCTAAATTAAATTGTAAATTTAGGTAATACAGATAAAATTACCTACCCCGATGTGACAAGGTCCGTGTCTTCCGGGATGACATCTCTATTGGTCTCTTCTAAACAGTTCAATGTATCAACACTATAGTTTAAAAAACAGAAAATTTAAACGCTATATTTAAACAAACAGAAAACGCATAGAAATGTGATCCAAAGATCTTAACAAAATATGACAAAAGGGTGTTGACAAAATATGAGCATTAATGAATGTACAAGATGCTTTCCAGTGATCATCTTTTAATTATGGAGAACATTCACTGATCAATGCCAGACACTCTTCCACTCACCAGCTGCTAAAGATACTGGTCTCAGTCCAGTTCCGCTTGGATTACTTTAGGCCCTAGAAACCCTCTTCGTTGTCAGTAAATTTAATCTCAAATCATCAAATCTGGAAATGCCGTGTAGTTAAGTACAGCTGTAATCCTTTTTTGAACCCAAAACGTAACTGTTTTAGGATTACAGCCTCACGACACTTACAAATTGATCATAGCTTGAAAAACAAAACCCCTTTTAGTTCATAATGAGTAGCTTTACATTCACAATTCATTCACAACAACAATCCTCCAGCAGATCAACTTCAAAAATGTTACCCTCACTTTCAAATACCTCTTCGAATCCACCCTACTTCTGTAACCTCCTGCAACTCTACTGGCCCTGACACTTAACTGCTCCCTGAGTTCCCGCTCGATCGCTCTCTAATCGCTCTCTCTCTCCCTTGTGTCTTTCTCTTCCTTGTGTCTCTCTCTCTCCTCCCACCGCCGCCCAACTCTCTATCCCTGGGTCTCTTTCTCCCCTTGGGTCTCCTTCTCTCCGACAAACGTGGATTTGAGTCCTCACGAGGTACCAGGAACTCCCAGCGAGATTCGCTGTGGGCAACCCAGTTTAGCGTGAAGTGCATGAGAGCATTCCCACCGCAGTATTCCAGGGCACTGCTGATGACAGCACAGCCACCCTGGCTCACGGCAGAACTTGGAAGGACAGACCAGTCACTGGGGGCAGAGTCGTTCCCACTCAGCTCCTGTTAACCCTGAAAGCCCTCCCTCTCTCTGACACCTAAGCCATGATCGCCATCCCCCCTCTCCCCTCCTGAGCTGTCTCCCGTCCTGCTGATCACTCACTCCAGGTCTCTGCACGTGTGTTTTGGCTGCCGCCCCGACCTGAGACGCTCCCTCTAAACATATTCCTGCTCCTCCTCCCCCACACTCCGCTACGACCATACTGTCCTTCTCTCCCACCGCCCTCCTCCCCTTGTCTCTCTCCTGGACCCCACCATTGCCCCCCTCTGCTCCAGCCTGAGCATCCTCCGCCAGGCCCATCCTGACTCCCGGGGTTGGTTGTTCCAGAGCAGCCGCCCCAATTGCCATCGCTCACTCTCTCTGCACCAACCACCTTCGAAAGACAAACACCCCTTCCCTCCCATCCATACCCTCTCCAACTCTCCCCACCTCCTCAAACTCCACGGTCATTTCTCCCCCACGACCCCAATTTCCTCCCTATACCGCTCTCCCCATCACCGTCCCCCCACCAGTAAACCTATCTGCATTTCCCTTCAAAATGTCTGTTCCCTCTCCAATAAAGTCCTTGCTATCCATACCCCCATCCTGGATGAGCACATTGATATTCTTGGGCTTACAGAAACCTGGCTCTCCCCCAGTGACCCCGTCCCCCTTGTTGAAGTCTCCCCTCCTGGCTACACTTTTTATCACATCCCCCGCCCCACCTACATGGAGGCGGTGTGGCCATCATTTCCCAAGCTTCCCTTAGTCTATCCCCCTATTCCTCTGGCTATTTCTCCTCCTTTGAGCATCTCACCCTCTACCATCCCTCCACTCTCTCTCTCAAAATTCTCCTAGTTTACCACTCCCCAAACCTCCTGGCTCCTTCCTCACTGACATCTCCTCTCTCCTCTCATCCCTGTCCCTCTGCACTGAACACCTGCTCATAATGGGTGTTTCAACATTAACTCCTCTTGCATCACCTCCTCGGATTTCACTGCCCTCCTCTCCTCCATAAACCTCACCCTCCACAACAACTCGCCGACCCACAACCATGGCCACCCACTCGACCTCGTCATCACACACAGCCTTGACATTTCTGACCTGTCCATTACAGACAAGGCCATCTCGGACCACTTCCTCATCTCCCTCTTCTCTCGCATCCCCCTCCCCTCTTCCAAGTCTCCACCATCTTTTCCCGCCCCTGGAAAAAGCTTCCCCCTGAGTCCCACACACGTGCCCTCTCTTCCTCAGACCTATTCTCCCTCGGGCCGTCCACCCGCAGTGATCCTGATGCAGCCATTAAGCTGCTGAATGACCACAACTTTTAATTCCCTGGCTCCTCTGAAATCCAGGGCTGTTTCCAAATCAACTCGCTCACCCTGGTACAACAGTCATCCCCACTCACTTAAAACCTAATCCCGGATGCTCAAACGCAGATGGCAGAAATGGGGCTTCACAATTCACCGTCATCTGTGGCTCGAGCACCTTTGCACCTACTGCCTCTCTCTTCCTCAGCCCCAAATCAAAGTCATCCCGGAGGCCAAAAACAACCCAAAGACAGTTTTCCACCGTCCATCACTTCCTCAGTCCACCCCCTTAAGCTGCCTCTATCCTCAAATCAAACACCTTGTGCGAAGAGGTCCTAGACTTCTTTGCCTCAAAAATTGAAAACATCTGCATGGCTGCATCGTTCTCCTCCACACCCCCCGCCCCCCCCCCCACCCCATGTCCCCTTCCAGGAAGACAATACGCATTCCATTCCAACAATCTGTCTCTGGGATTTCTATGTGTAGGTGGGAAGTATGGAATTCTCAGTTTGGTTTGGATACTCTTAAGCATAGGGATGGGTTTCCGCCTGTGTCTGACACCCGCCTGATCACAAAAAAAATCCTCTTCGACCCGTTCTTAGGGTCACCTCCTCCCTCCCCCGAGACTCTTCCACTGTTAAGTGCTCTGGGGGTTAAGGTGGTGTATAAATGCAAGTTCATCATCCAGAACTCTGCAGCCCGTGTCCTCTCCCGCACCAGGCTCCGGGACTGTCATCACCCCCGTCCTCGCCCGACTCCACTGTCTTCCCATCACACAGAGGATCCAGTTCAAGATCCTGGTCCTCACCTTCAAAGCCCTCCATTGGCATTGCTCCCCTCTACCTCTGCGACCTCCTAACCCCCTACCACCCTGCCCGCTCCCTCCGCGCGCTCAGCGGGTTGTGGCTGCTTCACATCCCCCCACCTCGCCGGCCCCGTCGTTGGCAGGCGGGCGTTCTGCCACTCTGCCCCCATCCTCTGGAACACCATCCCGCAGTCCCTCCCCCTCCCTCCCTCGCCATCTCAAGACCCTCCTCTTCCGTCATCCTCCCCCCCCCCCTGCTCCCCCCCCCTCCCTCCCCCCCCCCCCCCTCCCCCCCTGCTCCCCGCCCCTCCCTCCCTGCTCCCCCCCCCTCCCTCCCCCCCCTGCTCCCCACCCTCCCTCCCCCCCGCTGCTCCCCGCCCCTCCCCCCCCTGCTCCCCGCCCCTCCCCCCCCCCGCTCCCCACCCTCCCTCCCCCGCTCCCCACCCTCCTCCCTGCTCCCCGCCCCTCCCCCCCTGCTCCCCACCCCCCTCCCCCCCTGCTCCCCCCCCTCCCCCCCCTGCTCCCTCCCCCCCCTCCCCCCCCCTGCTCCCCTCCCTCCCCCCCTGCTCCCCCCTGCTCCCCTCCCTCCCCCCCTGCTCCCCCCCTCCCCCCTGCCCCCCCCCCTCCCCCCTGCTCCCCTCCCTCCCCCCTGCTCCCCACCTGCTCCCTCCCCCCCCTGCTCCCCCCCTCCCCCCCTGCTCCCCCCCTGCTCCCCACCCTCCCTCCCCCCCCTGCTCCCCACCCTCCCTCCCCCCCTGCTCCCCCCTCCAGCTCGGGGTCCCAATCCCTGAAGGCGCAGGGCGTTGTGCCGTCCTCCCGGCGTGAGGGGCGCTGTGCCAATGCCACGTGTTGTTGTCGTTGCTGCGTTGCCTCCTTCTCCCCGGGTCTCTCTCTCTCTCTCTCTGTCGCTCACCCGCACACGAGCCTCAGGTCGCTCAGGGTCTCCTCGGACAGCCCGAGCTGCGCTGCCAACTGCTCGTCCGTCTGCTCCTCGTCTTGCGGGTGGAGAGCGAGGTGAGCCGGGTCGAGCCGCTCTGCCCACTGGCCGCTGACCGAGGCCACGCTGACCAGGCGGCTGATGACCCCACTCGGCTCGTACTCGGGGCAGCGGTTCCTCCATTCGCTGCCGGTCGCCATGGGGCCGCCCGCGCCGCGCCGCGCCGCGCACTCTGGGAGCTGTAGTATTCGCTTCCTCTGTCGTCACTGCAGTTCCGGGACTGAGAACTACACCGCCCAGAAGGCCCCGCGCCACCCGCATTCTCTGACCAGGTTGGGCGGGTTTTGGGGGCGGTTTTTTTTTGGTCGTTATTGTGCGTGAAAACCGCCTGTGGGCGGGCGCCTCATTTTTAAAACTTTTAATGTAAACCGGTGAAACTTTTTTTAAAAAAAAATGTCCTTTTCTTACAGAGCTTCAAAAGCGCCAACCTAAATCGGTCACTCTTCCGCACACAGGAGGCGATGCATTATATCGGGCTGGTTTGGAGCTCGTGATCGGTGGACTTTGGGCCACTGACACGTTTTGATTTTTGGCCGAATGCAAAACACAGCAGATGCTGGAAATCTGAAACAAAACCAGAAGTCGCTGGGAACGCTCAGCAGGTCCGGCAGAACTGATGAAAGCTCGTGGACCCGAAACGTTGATGCACTTTCCTTTCCTGAGTGTTCCCAGCGACTTGTGTTTCCGTTTTTAATCTCTGGCCATCCTACTCCCAGAGCGCACGCGTCACTCTCGCTCCCCAGCATTGGTTTGGGATGAAGAAGGACTGTGGGGCAGTCCTGTAGCTTAGTGGTTAGAGAACTCGCAAGTGAGATGACCTGGATTCAATTCCCGGGCGGGTTGAAATGTTGGGCAAGTTTCCTTACTCCACACACCACTGTTTACCGAGCAGTAAGTAGGAACACGGTTGGTAGTCGATTGGCGGATCGCTTTTCCAGAGGTAATAATACGTTTAACAAAAAAAAATGTGGTCACTCAATCCATGACTGTCTGTGGGACACTGCTGTGTGCAATTGGCTGCCGTGCTCCACCCACAAAATATACAGTCAATTCACTTTACAGTATCTTCTATGAAGCGCTTTGAGACGTCTGAAGAAGTGATAATCTACCATGTCACACTCCCCACCCTGCACCACATCGCAACACATAACATTGGAGCGCAACTTTTCATGATTCACAAACTGCAAAATGCATTTTGCCCAGGTATGATCATACATTCCACAACTACTTCTCCAGGCAAGCACTTTGCTGTATAGATTACCCTGGCTAATTTCTGTACAAGCAGTATTTTTTGTCAGCTATTTAATTTTACTATACAGTACATTGTTACTGTATATATATATTGCGATCTTAAATTTTTGCGAGAAAGTGCCATGAAAATTAAGTGAATTAAAACTTCATTTTAATGAGATGGAGAAGTGCAGTCTTTCAGGGTTGTGTCACAAAACAAGAGTCACTCCCATTTGCACGAAAATAAAGTAGACACCAAATTATGACATCCAATAGTACTATTCTAAAAGAGAAGGAAGTTTCTCCCAGTGTCTTGGCCAGCAATCCCACAGATAAAATCGATTATTTTCTTCAGGGTTCTTGTGGGACTTTACTGTGTGCAAATCGGTTACCGTGTTCACTGACAAATACAGTCAATATATTCTACAGTAATTCTTGTAAAGCACTTTAGACAACCTCCTGACTTGAAATATCAACTGAGCCAGTAAATTTTTCAAAGCCATCATCAAATTTCAAATTAATCGCAATAACAAGTGCCCGGATCCAGTGAAAATTCTGCTAAACAGGAATCCAGAGAACCAAGAAAGACTATTATGGAACACTGCATGCTTTTCATACCAGTTTGTCCGCATCTTGTCTAACTCACGATTGGGTGGGGAGGGGAGGAGATAGAGTGGGGGAAACAGGGAACAGGCTACCTAAATGCAGAGGATCTGTAAAGAGGTGAGCTAACAAAACTAAGAAGATTGAAGGTGAACAGATTGGACAGATTATTTCATTATTTTACACAGTGGTGAATAGATGGCATCGAGTGACTAACTTGACGTAGGCATCGTGTTTCAACAAATTCAAGAGAGAATTTTGATAGACATTTGGGGGAAGGGGTTGTTAATAACTCTTATCTAAGTTATTCAGAATTATTACTGGTAACTGATGCATGCCAAGCACCTTATTTCTGCATTATGTACTTGTTAATACCGTTTGTTATCACTTCCATATCGTTACTCCAATCTGCTACAATGAGCAGACGTGTATAATATTGTCCTCACAGCACAATGGTGAATATCTGATATTTGCACATCATTTCTAGTGTCCTACCCAACAATGCCCCGGATTGAAGCGCTTTGGGACGTCCTCCCGACGTGAAAAGCGCTATATCAAATGCAAGGATTATTATTATTATTATTATTATAAAATTGGCCATTCATTTCATGGCATTTGTGGGACATTGCAAATAAGGTGTCTTGTTCGGGTACAAAATGCAGTGTCAGTAAACTCCATAGTAAATCCTGTAAAGTGCTTTGAGATGTTTTGATGACCTGATAAGGTGCTATATTAAACACAAGCATTATATATTATTAATAAATACATTTTATGGTAATCACACTGAAGAATTTTTCAAAATATTTAAATCTAATTTCTGAATTGTGCTTATTTTATTTGGTGGGTTTTGCCCACAAAATATACAGTCAATTCTGTGAAGCATTTTGAGATATCTTGAAGACATGATAAGGTGCTATATCAAATGAAAGGATTATTATTATATGCATCAGAAAGGCATTGGAATTGGAATTAAATTGGTTCCAGGCAGATTGTATTTTGGACTAAGCCTTATCAGATAAATGTAATAATCACGGTCCATTCACTTGTAAATGCATATAAATGCATTTGCATTAAAGATTCTTAAAATACTAAGGTTCACAGTCCAACAGCACAGGGCTAATTTAATTAACAGTCTTCCAATTTACAGCATTAGCGCAATGCAGTCAGATGTATGAGGGAACTAAAAGTGCAAAGTTTAAAAATCTGAAATGTTTCCTCAAGTGACTCATCGACCACATGTTCTACACATTACTGGAAATGATGATTTTCTGTACATAAAAAAATGAATTTTGTATTTGATGGCTGTACAGCAAGTGGGATTATCACACAAGCACACCATTTGAAATTGTCTTCCTATAAAGTATAAAAAGCCCAATTGGTACTCAGAAATTCTAAGTTACAGAAAGTCTTTGAAAAGTGGGAAGTTCAAAGTTAACCATTGAAGCATTAATCTTTGGACATGTAACAACAACAACAAGATTCCATTTATAGAGCGCCTTTCACGTCGGGAGGACGTCCCAAGGCGCTGTACAGTTGGGTCAGGACCCGAGCAGGGGGGAAATGGTCAGGGTGAGGGGAGGGAAGGGAGGGAGCGAGGAGGGGGGAAATGGTCAGGGTGAGGGGAGGGAAGGGAGGGAGCGAGGAGGGGGGATATGGTCAGGGTGAGGGGAGGGAAGGGAGGGAGCGAGGAGGGGGGAAATGGTCAGGGTGAGGGGAGGGAAGGGAGGAGGGGAGTCGAGAGGGGAGCTGAAGGCACGGTCAACGAGAAAGGTCTTGAGACCGGCCTTGAAGGAGGAAAGGGAGGAAGCAAAGCGAGGCACTGGGGGATAGAGTTCCAGAGCCTCGGGGCTGAGAGGCTGAAGGCCCGGCCACCTATGTTGGGGCGGGGGATGTGGAGCAGACCGGAGCCAGAGGAACGGAGGGTACGGGCAGGTAGGTAGGGTAGTAGGTTGGAGAGGTAGGAGGGAGCAAGGCCGTGAATGGCCTTGTAGGTGAGGATGAGGATCTTGAAATCAATCCTCTGGGGGATGGGGAGCCAGTGGAGGCGAGCGAGGGTGGGAGTGATGTGGTCGCGAAGCCTGGTGCGGGACAGTACACGAGCTGCAGAGTTCTGAATGACCTGCAGCTTGTGGAGGGAGGTGGCGGGAAGGCCGACGAGGAGAGAGTTCCCATAGTCCAGCCTTGAGGTGATAAAGGCGTGGACCAGAGTTTCAGCAGCGTGAGGGGTGAGGTAGTGCCGTAGTCTGGCGATATTCCGCAGGTGATGGAAGGCGGTGCCAGTTGTGGTGCGGATATGAGGGAGAAAGGACAGCTCAGGGTCGAACAGAACACTTCTGCATCAGAAGGTTTGGGTTCAAACCCCACATCGGGACATGAAACTCATGTAGTCTAGGCAGGCACTCTAATGCAGTGCTGAAGCTTTGCTGCACTGTTGAAGGTGCCGTCCTTTGGACATTAAACTAAGGTCCAATCCGTCTGATCAGCTGGACTTTAAAGATCCTGTTTAAAAAGGTGAAGAGAGATTTCTCCCGGTGTCCTGGCCAACAATCCCACAAATAAAATGGATCATCCACTTTGTGGTTGTTTTTGTGGGGCATTGCTGTTCCAAAATTGGCTGCCACTTCATCCGTAAAAATATGTTCACAACACTTTAAAGTATATTGTGCAAAGCACTTTGAAATGTCCTCCTAACTTGAAAGGTGCTCTAACAATTGCAAAGATTATTATAAATTTTCCTTTGTTTTGTCATTGCAACATTTGCACTGAATAGCCGCTTCCTACAGCTGCATGCTTTAACTTTTGTAAGTTTATATGCATCAGTGGGCTTATCATTTACTTCTGTAGTGAAGAGCTAGGGTGTCCAGCAAGCAGAGTATTCAAATAGTTCAGTCTGGAGTTGATGAAGGCGTGGATGAGGGTCTCAGAATCCCAGGCGTGTGCTATGACCAATCACTGGGGGCAGGGAATCATCCTACTCAGCTCCTGTAAACCCTGCAAGCTAAAGCCCCATCGGGTAAGCTTGCCAGACAGTGATATCAATGGCAAGCCATGCAGTTTTAGCTGGTTAGACTCCAGCAGTACCCCAACGCACACTCTGGGGTCTCCAAGCCTTGGCTCTTGCCAAGCTGCCCTACTACTTTCAGGGAAGAGAGTGCACATTCCAACCATCTTATCTCTAGGATTTCCATTTGTAGGTGGGATGCATGAAAATCTCAGCTTGGTTTGAATGCTCTTAAGCCTGGTGATGGGTTTCCGCGTATGTCAGACTCCCGCTGACGCCCCCAAAATTGCTATGAATACGCCCACTCTATAAACAGGTCTGTGCTATTAACACTGGCTGCTATACTTGGGCATGTTATAATGGGGTACTTATTTCCGACTTACAATCAGTGTGTAATAATTGACAAGGATTTACTTGGTACAAACTCACACAGGATGGAACAGGTGACCACTTCCCTGATATGTACACACACAATACATTAGAAGCATTTTATTTGACAGTGTTTGTAGCCATGGAGTGCATTAGGAAGAGATTAGCCTGATATTTACACACTGTACAGTGGAAAGCAAGTTACCTTGGAGTTTACAAAATAGACACTTATTCAGAAAAAAATAATCTTTACATTCGGTATAGCGCCTTATCACGTCTTCTGGATGTCTCAAAGCTCTTCACAGAATATAATAATAAATATAGAATATACTGTAAAATGAATTAACTGTATGCTTTATGGGCAAAATACGACATCCAATTGCGCACAGCAGAGTCCCACAAACATCGTGGATTAAATGACCAAATTATTATATTTTTTAAAAATTGTTTTGAAGGGATTAATACCCCCGGAAAAGCGATCCACCATTAACTAACAAGCAGGTTCCTACTTACAGCTAGGTAAACTGAGGCTAGGTAAACAGGGGCGTGTGGAGTAAGGAAACTTTCCCAATGTTTCTCCCTGCCAGGAATAGTTTGGTAGGCACAGACACACACAATATTTATTGACGTATAAAGCATGTAAAGATGTAGAGATGTCAGGAGGGTGTGAAGAGTAACATGAGGAGTGTCAGGAGGAGTGTGTGCATGGTAACATGAGGAGGGGTGTCAGGAGTGTGTGCACAGAAACATGAGGAGGGGTGGCAGGAGGTGAGCACAGTAGCATGAGGAGGGGTGGCAGGAGGTGAGCACAGTAGCATGAGGAGGGGTGGCAGGAGGTGGCAGGAGGGTGTGCACAGTAACACGAGGAGGGGTGGCAGGAGGGTGTGCACAGTAACATGAGGAGGGGTAGCAGGAGGTGAGCACAGTAACATGAGGAGGGGTGGCAGGAGGTGAGCACAGTGACATGAGGAGGGGTGGCAGGAGGGGTGCACAGTAACATGAGGAGGGGTGGCAGGAGGAGTGGCAGGAGGTGAGCACAGTGACATGGGGAGGGGTGGCAGGAGGGGTGGCAGTGACATGAGGAGGGGTGGCAGTGACATGGGGAGGGGTGGCAGGAGGTGGCAGTGACATGGGGAGGGGTGGCAGTGACATGGGGAGGGGTGGCAGGAGGTGGCAGTGACATGGGGAGGGGTGGCAGGAGGTGGCAGTGACATGGGGAGGGGTGGCAGGAGGTGGCATTGACATGGGGAGGGGGGCAGGAGGGGTGGCAGTGACATGGGGAGGGGTGGCAGGAGGGGTGGCAGTGACATGGGGAGGGGTGGCAGGAGGTGGCAGTGACATGGGGAGGGGTGGCAGTGACATGGGGAGGGGTGGCAGGAGGTGGCAGTGACATGGGGAGGGGTGGCAGGAGGTGGCAGTGACATGGGGAGGGGTGGCAGGAGGGGTGGCAGTGACATGGGGAGGGGTGGCAGGAGGGGTGGCAGTGACATGGGGAGGGGTGGCAGGAGGGGTGGCAGTGACATGGGGGGGGGAGGGGGTGGCAGTGACATGGGGAGGGGGTGGCAGGAGGTGGCAGTGACATGGGGAGGGGTGGCAGTGACATGGGGAGTGGTGGCAGTGACATGGGGAGGGGTGGCAGGAGGTGGCAGTGACATGGGGAGGGGTGGCAGGAGGGGTGGCAGTGACATGGGGAGGGGTGGCAGGAGGGGTGGCAGTGACATGGGGAGGGGTGGCAGTGACATGGGGAGGGGTGGCAGGAGGGGTGGCAGTGACATGGGGAGGGGTGGCAGTGACATGGGGAGGGGGTGGCAGTGACATGGGGAGGGGTGGCAGTGACATGGGGAGGGGTGGCAGGAGGTGGCAGTGACATGGGGAGGGGTGGCAGGAGGGGTGGCAGTGACATGGGGAGGGGTGGCAGGAGGGGTGGCAGTGACATGGGGAGGGGTGGCAGTGACATGGGGAGGGGTGGCAGTGACATGGGGAGGGGTGGCAGGAGGGGTGGCAGTGACATGGGGAGGGGTGGCAGTGACATGGGGAGGGGTGGCAGGGGGTGGCAGTGACATGGGGAGGGGTGGCAGTGACATGGGGAGGGGTGGCAGGAGGGGTGGCAGTGACATGGGGAGGGGTGGCAGGAGGGGTGGCAGTGACATGGGGAGGGGTGGCAGTGACATGGGGAGGGGTGGCAGTGACATGGGGAGGGGGTGGCAGGAGGTGGCAGTGACATGGGGAGGGGTGGCAGGAGGTGGCAGTGACATGGGGAGGGGTGGCAGGATGTGGCAGTGACATGGGGAGGGGTGGCAGGAGGTGGCAGTGACATGGGGAGGGGTGGCAGGAGGTGGCAGTGACATGGGGAGGGGTGGCAGGAGGTGGCAGTGACATGGGGAGGGGTGGCAGGAGGTGGCAGTGACATGGGGAGGGGTGGCAGGAGGTGGCAGTGACATGGGGAGGGGTGGCAGGAGGTGGCAGTGACATGGGGAGGGGTGGCAGTGACATGGGGAGGGGTGGCAGTGACATGGGGAGGGGTGGCAGTGACATGGGGAGGGGGTGGCAGGAGGTGGCAGTGACATGGGAGGGGTGGCAGGAGGTGGCAGTGACATGGGGAGGGGTGGCAGGAGGTGAGCACAGTGACATGAGGAGGGGTGGCAGGAGGTGGCAGTGACATGGGGAGGGGTGGCAGGAGGTGGCAGTGACATGGGGAGGGGTGGCAGGAGGTGGCAGTGACATGGGGAGGGTGGCAGGAGGTGGCAGTGACATGGGGAGGGGTGGCAGTGACATGGGGAGGGGTGGCAGTGACATGGGGAGGGGTGGCAGGGGTGGCAGTGACATGGGGAGGGGTGGCAGGGGGTGGCAGTGACATGGGGAGGGGTGGCAGTGACATGGGGAGGGGTGGCAGTGACATGGGGGGGTGGCAGGAGGGGTGGCAGTGACATGGGGGGGGGTGGCAGTGACATGGGGGGGGGGTGGCAGGAGGTGGCAGTGACATGGGGAGGGGTGGCAGGGGTGGCAGTGACATGGGGAGGGGTGGCAGGAGGTGGCAGTGACATGGGGAGGGGTGGCAGTGACATGGGGAGGGGTGGCAGTGACATGGGCAGGGGGTGGCAGTGACATGGGGAGGGGTGGCAGTGACATGGGGAGGGGTGGCAGTGACATGGGGAGGGGTGGCAGTGACATGGGGAGGGGTGGCAGGAGGGGTGGCAGTGACATGGGGAGGGTGGCAGTGACATGGGGGGGTGGCAGTGACATGGGGAGGGGTGGCAGGAGGGGGGGGTGGCAGGGGGGTGGCAGTGACATGGGGAGGGTGCAGGGGTGGCAGTGACATGGGGAGGGGTGGCAGGAGGGTGGCAGTGACATGGGGAGGGGTGGCAGTGACATGGGAGGGGTGGCAGTGACATGGGAGGGGTGGCAGTGACATGGGGAGGGGTGGCAGGAGGGGGTGGCAGTGACATGGGGAGGGGTGGCAGTGACATGGGGAGGGGTGGCAGTGACATGGGGAGGGGTGGCAGGAGGGGTGGCAGTGACATGGGGAGGGGTGGCAGTGACATGGGGAGGGGTGGCAGTGACATGGGAGGGGTGGCAGGGCAGTGACATGGGAGGGGTGGCAGTGACATGGGGAGGGGTGGCAGTGACATGGGGAGGGGTGGCAGGAGGGTGGCAGTGACATGGGGAGGGGTGGCAGTGACATGGGGGGGGTGGCAGGAGGGGTGGCAGTGACATGGGGAGGGGTGGCAGTGACATGGGGAGGGGTGGCAGGAGGTGGCAGTGACATGGGGAGGGGTGGCAGGGGGTGGCAGTGACATGGGGAGGGGTGGCAGTGACATGGGGAGGGGTGGCAGGAGGGGTGGCAGTGACATGGGGAGGGGTGGCAGTGACATGGGGAGGGGTGGCAGGAGGGGTGGCAGTGACATGGGGAGGGGTGGCAGGAGGGGTGGCAGTGACATGGGGAGGGGTGGCAGTGACATGGGGAGGGGTGGCAGTGACATGGGGAGGGGTGGCAGTGACATGGGGAGGGGTGGCAGTGACATGGGGAGGGGTGGCAGGGGGTGGCAGGAGGGAGCCGTTGCCTCCCCTTCACTTAATGCCATCAGTCGGATCTATCCATCCGGCGGAAAGAGTTGTTCAGGAAACTGCTCGACACCCAGTCAGAGTGTCACAAATCACCCTGAGTGTGAGCTGTGCCCCCCCCCCGGCCCGCCCGGCCCCCGGGCCGCACACACTCACACACACTCACACACCATGGCCAGCGCGGGGAGCAGCGCGGGACCTGAGGCAGACGAGGTAACTGAGTGGCTGCAGTGCAGCGCTCCCATTCCCTCCTCATATAATGTGCTTTACACTGCAAGTTTGCGCCGCACCGGTGACCGAGCGGAGAGGACACGTCGATACGGAATGACAACCTTTTTATTCCCCGGTGTGTGGCTGAAGCATTTTGCAACTCAGAAGGTTTAAATTGCTTTGATGTAACGACTGTATGTATTACTCAGTGAGTGTACGTGTGACTGACTGACTGACTGACTCACTCACTCACTCACTGACTTGACACATTCTTTCTCCATTTCCCACCGAAGGTTTGAAAACTTGGGGCAGAATTTTTTTTTTTTTTTTGGGGGGGGGGGGGGGTTTGAAAACTGTGAAGAGGATATTCTTTCTCATCGTCGTTCAGTTCAGACATTTTATTTGCCCTCTGTGGAAAAGCACTGATTGTCACCATGTTCCTGACGAGAGGGTTATTCTCCTTCTCCCTCGGCTGCGTTGGTGCTTGGGCTTTGCTTTGGCGAAAGATAGTAACGCCTTTTTATGCCTATAAATGAACTGGGGATGTTGTGTGTGTTGTGTGTGTATTGAGGGGAAGCATTTCATAAATTGGATCGGAAATGGTGGGTGTGTTTATACACAGATTTGATCAGTGTCTAAACCAACCAGTCTCTCCCTCCCTCTCTCTCTCTCTCTCTCTCCATTACCCCAAGCACAGCTGCCAAGAAATACCCCAGTGCCTGACCCACTTCATCATTGTAATAATAATAATAATAACAATCCTTGCGTTTGATATAGCGCTTTTCACGTCGGGAGGACGTCCCAGAGCGCTTCACAGAACACACTGTAAAGTGAATTGACTGTATATTTGTGGGCGAACGCGGCAGCCAATTGCGCACAGCAATGTCCCACGAACAGTCGTAGATTGAAGTGACCCAATTATTATTGTTTTTTTTTCTTGAGGGATTATTATTAGGCTCTGTGTGGAGTAAGGAAACTTGCCCAAGTTTTCGCACTGACTGGAATTGAACTCAGGTCTCTCACTTGCAAAGCGAATGCTCTAACCACTGAGCTACAGGACTCCACAAATCATTGATTGCACTGAAGCCACTGAGACCTTTATATACCAGAAGCCTTTTCTGAAACCTGTCTATGAGACAGTTTCGCTGCGGGGTGTGTGTGAGACCGGGGCTGGTGTGGGAGCTGAGACCCGGGCTGGTGTGGGAGCCCAGACCCGGGCTGGTGTGGGAGCTGAGACCGGGGCTGGTGTGGGAGCTGAGACCGGGGCTGGTGTGTGAGCTGAGACCGGGGCTGGTGTGGGAGCCCAGACCCGGGCTGGTGTGTGAGCTGAGACCGGGGCTGGTGTGGGAGCTGAGACCGGGGCTGGTGTGGGAGCTGAGACCGGGGCTGGTGTGGGAGCTGAGACCGGGGCTGGTGTGGGAGCCCAGACCCGGGCTGGTGTGGGAGCTGAGACCGGGGCTGGTGTGGGAGCTGAGACCGGGGCTGGTGTGGGAGCTGAGACCCGGGCTGGTGTGTGAGCTGAGACCGGGGCTGGTGTGGGAGCCCAGACCCGGGCTGGTGTGGGAGCTGAGATCCGGGCTGGTGTGTGAGCTGAGACCGGGGCTGGTGTGGGAGCTGAGACCGGGGCTGGTGTGGGAGCTGAGACCGGGGCTGGTGTGGGAGCTGAGACCGGGGCTGGTGTGGGAGCTGAGACCCGGGCTGGTGTGGGAGCTGAGACCGGGGCTGGTGTGGGAGCTGAGACCGGGGCTGGTGTGGGAGCTGAGACCGGGGCTGGTGTGGGAGCTGAGACCGGGGCTGGTGTGGGAGCTGAGACCGGGGCTGGTGTGGGAGCTGAGACCCGGGCTGGTGTGTGAGCTGAGACCGGGGCTGGTGTGGGAGCCCAGACCCGGGCTGGTGTGGGAGCTGAGACCGGGGCTGGTGTGGGAGCTGAGACCGGGGCTGGTGTGGGAGCTGAGACCCGGGCTGGTGTGGGAGCTGAGACCCGGGCTGGTGTGTGAGCTGAGACCGGGGCTGGTGTGTGAGCTGAGACCGGGGCTGGTGTGTGAGCTGAGACCGGGGCTGGTGTGTGAGCTGAGACCGGGGCTGGTGTGTGAGCTGAGACCGGGGCTGGTGTGTGAGCTGAGACCGGGGCTGGTGTGTGAGCTGAGATCCGGGCTGGTGTGTGAGCTGAGACCGGGGCTGGTGTGTGAGCTGAGACCGGGACTGGTGTGGGAGCTGAGACCGGGGCTGGTGTGTGAGCTGAGACCGGGGCTGGTGTGGGAGCTGAGACCGGGGCTGGTGTGTGAGCTGAGACCGGGGCTGGTGTGGGAGCTGAGACCGGGGCTGGTGTGGGAGCTGAGATCCGGGCTGGTGTGTGAGCTGAGACCGGGGCTGGTGTGTGAGCTGAGACCGGGACTGGTGTGGGAGCTGAGACCGGGGCTGGTGTGTGAGCTGAGACCGGGGCTGGTGTGGGAGCTGAGACCGGGGCTGGTGTGGGAGCTGAGACCGGGGCTGGTGTGGTAGCCCAGACCCGGGCTGGTGTGGGAGCTGAGACCTGGGCTTTTGCAGAAAGCTGTGTGAAATCAATGTCTGCTCCTGAGACACTCACACGACAGGCTTCAGCTCCCTGTAGTAGCGATCTCCACACAAGGAACCTCCACAGGCTTTTTTTTGAAAATATGTATTTATTTATATATATAATATTTGGTACAACAGAAATCCAAAACAAACATAACATCTTCTGTTACAATTTTTTCCCTTTTCTCATGATACAAAACACATTCCGTTACGGTACATTCCTTCACCGCACATAAGTTGTGCACATGTTTTTCGGTACGCTCCCTTTAACACAGTCGGGAGTCACTCCTGTGTACACCACACCCATGTGCGAGCCCGCACACACCCTGATAAGGCAGACTTGCCGCTTTTGGAAGGCACCTGATGTGCACCGTACACCCACATATTTACCGACACATTTTTGGGATGCTCTTTGGTTACATCTTGAGCATCCTTCTGTACCCTTACTTCAGTCAGTTTTGGGTGAGCTCGTGGGCCACCTGGTGGGTTGTGTCAGAGTGGCTCCTGCTGGGGTCAGGCCCCATCTGGCCTTTGCTGTAGTTGAGTCGAACTTCAGCTTGTCCCTCAGTATATAGTCCCTGATCCTAGTGTGTGGGAGCCTGAGGCAGGCCTTACCGTCCCCTCGTTCTGCCAGAAGAACACCTAGTTTCAGGATTGCCAAAGGGCCTCCTTTACCGAGTTTATGATCATCCGGGCACACTCGATATGTTTCACTGTGAGTGCCCGGGAAGAGTCGTACACCACTGAGTACCGTGACAGCGGGTCCCCAGGGACAAACCAAGAGAGAATCGAGTCCATCTTTTTCCAAACCATCTTTACGAAGCAACACTCCAGGAAGAAGTGGTCCACACAATCGAGACAAGCAAATGAGTCTCAGCTTCCCCTCGCCCCCCCACAGAAATGCTCGACTTTTAGTTGAAATGAATGTGTCTGTCTGAACAAGGCCCAAGTTCATCACCTTGCTCAAAGGCAGTGAGCAGGCACCAAATCTATTTTAAGATTGGAATACATTATGAACCCTCACATGTTATTTATGTATATGAATAGTCTTCTCTTCCCAGTCCCCCCTCCCCCCACCTCACTCCTCACTCCTTCCCCACTAATTGCAATGAATTGAATAAAAGAATTGCAATCAATCTGAATAAAGTGGCCTCTTTAAAAATAAACTGGGGTGGGCGGAAAATAACCGAGTGATCAGAATCCGATGACGCATCAGACTTACCATTAATAATTATAATCCTTGCATTTGATGTAGTGCCTTATCATATCTTGGAGACGTCTCAAAGCGCTTCGCAGAATATACAGTAAAGTGAATTGACTGTATATTTGTGGGTGAAGCTCGGCAACCAATTGCAATGAAGTACACAGATCCATTTTTGTCAATATTCAAACATTAGATCAAATTCGGTATTAATATTCATTGCCGGAAAAACAAGGCTGTTGTATATTTATAAATCACCCTGAAATGCCCATATCTGTATTACTTCAATTCGATTCTATTTTTAAAACACTGTGTTCTGCAAATGGACTTAGTAAAATCCAGTTCAAGGACCTGAGTTCATGCTGGTTGGATTTAATGTTTGTAGCAAGTGTTTGCTTGCATAGCAGCAGAAATGGGAAGAGAGAAATTGACTGATATGTGCAAACACAAAATTCTTTGAAATTTTGTTGATCCTCAGGAGGATCAAGGATGAGTAAATCTGTCCCTGTATGTCTTGAAGCTATGCGCTGAGTCAATATTCTAGTAAGAGAAACGGCACATAGAAGGAAAATTGTCTTCACATTATTCTTATTGATATTGGATTGTGTGAAATCTTACCTCAGAGTGCAATGAATGCTGAGCACTTAGCTGACCAGTGTTCATCAGGTTCATGACTTATTAATTTAATAGTAAGATTAAATCATGTTGAAATAAATAGTAATGAATAATACTTTGAGGAGTTTCTTTTATCTAAAAAGCACTATGTAAATGTCATCATCTTCATAGGAAGATGTCTTAATGAACTTCAAACATTGCATGCTTTGGAGTATAGTGATTGTTGTTATGTAAACCTTCATAGCAACAAATGTGCCCCACATATAGGAATGAGGTGAATTATAAATGTTATCTTTTTGGTAAATCAGTGTTAGGGGAGGAATATTATATAACAATAATTATCCTTGCATTTGATATGGCACCTTATCACATCTTCAAGAGTCTCAAAGCGCTTCACAGAATATACTGTAAAGACTGTATATCTTAGTGGGTGAAACGCAACACCAATTGCGCACAGCAGTGCCCCACAAACAGTCGTGGATTGAAGTGACCAATTTTTTTTTGAAGGAATTATTACCCCCAGAAAAGAGATCCGCCAATCGACTTAACAACCGGGTACTTATTTACTGCTAGGTAAACAGATGTATGTGTGTGGAGTAAGGAAACTTGCCCAACATTACATCGTGCCCAG